TTGAACAAAATGGCTTTGATGACTTTCAATTTGAAAAAACTAAATAAATAATGCAACAGTGCAAATGGAAAGATAGGAGGATGAAAGACATTTACTGTATGTAGTGAAAACCATAAAACCACAAAAAGATGAACTTATAGTGAAAAGCATCTATACTTAATGTATCATGCAGCTTGAAGTCAGCCAGTTTGTACAAATATAGCAATTTGATGGAAAACGATTTGAGTAGCGTGGCATGTCTTTAAGCTATAGACTCAATCATAATAGTACTATAAGAAATGTCATTAAACAAGACATTCTAAAATACATTCAGGTGATATTTTTTTAAATACATCAGTTAAACATATACTAACCTCATTGTATTCATGCTTCCCTCTGAAGAATCATCTTCATCATAATCATCACTGTCCTTCAGGTCTCCATTGCACTGGACAGCACTGTTGTTCTGGGGGCTGATGGGAGTCTGGCTGAAGTCCATGGCATTATGACTGCTGACTACATCCTTCATCCTACTGGTCAGAACGTCTTCTGTAACCTCAACTCTCTGCTGTGAGGATGACGAAGGGCTCTCAAACCTGTCAAACAAAAAAAGAATGTTTTTTATATATATATATGTAAATAATTATTAATTCTAAAGTTAGTTGGGCAATTCTGTTGGGGAGCGAATCAGCATAGAAAATAAAAATAAACTTGTTATTGTTTGGTTTTCTTGACACAAAATTGCTCCGGTTTCTAATGCAATATTGGTTTCTTGAGATAACAGGAATGAGCATTGCGTTGAATCATGCTTAGGGGGGAACTCCATTCTCTTCCGAATGCTAACACTAATATGAATACTAATACTGAAGTTTGGTAAGCCACCCCCTCGAACGGGAATCTCAAGAAGGGTCTGTGTTGAGGGGGTATTTGGATATGAATGTAAGGATCTTTAAAATCCACTGATATGAACTAGTCCTCTGGGCAAAACTACACACAGATCTGTTTCAAAGTCAGCATCCTGAATGGATCTCAGGGGCCTGAGCCCACCATCTTTCTTTGGGACGAGGAAATAACTGCTGTTAAAGCCTTCCTCACTGTTCTCTGGCGGGACCGTTTCGACGGCTTCTTTCACCAGAAAACACTGCACGTCGGAACAGCGAACGTGAGCATCGTTGTCCTGAAACGAATTGTCTGTAGAACCCAACTTGATGTGCCCAGGATGGCTTTCCAGCTGGGTGGGAAGGGGAGGACATTTTTCAGATGACAGGTTGCTACACAGAGGCAGGGAACTGACCATCGCAATGTATCGAAGAGGAGAAGTGCTCTTTATAGCCAGTGGGTCCGCTATCCCAGTGGTAGTTGGTGCTTGGGCACATGCAAAGTGAGTGGGATGGGCTCGGTGTTGACACAATGAACAAAGCCTCCAGCACCCAGAGCTGAATGGGGGATTGGAAGGCAAATGTGAGAATTCTTCGAGGGAAGTCCGGCCTCGGCGGGACTTAGCCTTCTCCTCTTCTCTCCTGACAGATCAATACGGCTTCTGCGGCTCAGGTCCCAATGTCCCTTTGGGGCAAGGGCACTGGGGCTTTGTAGGCTGAGGGTGCTGTCCAAGCTCAGGTTCGGGCTTGGACTGAGGCTGAGCAGGCAACATAGCAGACTTCACAGGCTGAGTTGACAGAGCCTTGTGGTGACTTGAAACAGCCGCTGAGCTGGAGCGCTTAGTCGAGAAGTGGTGCATGGCTTGCGACGACTTAAGCGTTCCACGAAACCATCAACAGTGGGTCCAAACAGCCTGGTCACGGAGACTGGGGAGTCGAGGAAGGCAGTCCTGTCTGCATTCTTGATCTCGGTCAGGTTTAACCAGAGGTGGCGCTCAAGCATCACCAAACCGGCCATTGACCTACTGATCGCCTGGGCTGTGGTCTTTGTGGCGCACAGGGCCAGGTCAGTTGCGCTGCGCAGCTCCCTGAAAGTCACTGGATCTGGGCCGGACTCATCCATGGCTTGGAGGAGTTTGGCCTGGAAAACCTGGAGGGCCGCCATAGTGTGAAGCGTGGAGCCTGCCTGTCCCGCTGCAGAGTAGGCCCTACCCGCTAGGGCTGAGGTGGTTCTGCAGGGCTTGGATGGATGAACAGCCTTGGCAGATTTTCCAGCTGTGGCCGGGCAGAGGTGTGTAGCGACGCCTCTTCAAGAGGAGGGATCTTCTTGTAGCCCCTTTGCTCTGCACCATCAACAGATGTGAGGGCTGCGGAGGCAGAAGAGTGGATGCGGGCCGAGTAGGGGGCGCACCACGACTTGAGTTCGGCATGAACTTCTGGAAAGAATGGTGCGGGTCTCTGACGGGGGGCTCTTTGGTGGTGCCTTAGCGCGAGGCGTTCATCCAGGTGGCTGTAGGCGGGCTCTTCTGGGGCCGACCACTCCAAGCCGAGCTCTTCAACGGCCTTTGTGAAAATGTGGATGAGCTCACTATCCACACTGGGCCATACACCACCAGATTTTTTGGGCGGAAGGGAGTCGGGGCACTCCACAGAGCAATCTGCATCAGAGGCCGCCAGTGACATGGCAGCAGATCTTCAGATCCTCTAAAGGTGACCATACAGCTCGCTCCAGAAAAGGGGGCGCTGATCCTCTTGGGAGAAGAGCACTGGGGAATCATCTCGCTGCGGGGAAGGCAAGGCATGCGGGCCATGTGCCGGCATGAGCTTGCTCGAGCCCGTCTGCTCAGCTTTTTGACTCTGCCGTTTCTTCCTCCGAGGCTCCTGGGAGGAGAGAAATGGGAGAGTGCGAGGGGCAGGATCGCCTTCACTGAAGAAAGCGATCCGCGAGCGTAGCAAGGTGAGACTCATGCTCTCGCAATGAGAGCAGGCCGTCTCTGTGAGTGCTGCCTCAGCGTGAGCATGGCCCAGGCAAGCGACGCAGTCACTGTGCTCGTCTGACTCATGCAGGGGGGCCCTGCACGTGGCGTGTCATTTTAAAGCCAACATTGACAAAATTTGCTTAATTAGAAGGAGAAATTAGCTCTGGATTTTCGCCAGATGGCCACAGGGGAGAAGCACTGAGCGGGAGAGCGTCTTTCCTCTGCTGGGGCTCTTCTTCCGCGAGTAGCAGGCTTCTTCGCTCTTCGTAGTCCAGCGAGGAGATGATCTTCGTGCTGAAGGAGAAAGATTCTGATGAAATGGCATTCAGCGATGACTTATATAGGCAGTTTGCTGCACAAACGTTAGCAAATCCAGCTTCACTATTCGGAAGAAGAATTTCCCTCCTAAGTGTGATACAAAGCAACGTAGGAGACCGTTTCGAAAGGAAAATATATTTCTATTTCTTTCTATTGTGAAATGTGACCAATATTTCATAATGAAAAATAACTAACTATGAAAAAATTCATAATGTACCTAATAATAGGTTTGATTTTCTTGACAAAATGTATATTTCTATTCGTTTCTATTGTGAACTGATCTGAACAATAGTAATAAACCTGTCATCTGTCAAGTGCTGGAGTGTGTTTGCGTTCTCGTCTCCCTGGAAAACTTTCTTCAGCAGGTCCAAGTGCTGAGGATTATTGACACCAAACCCAGAGGCCAAGATCTCAGCATGGACATTATACTCATTAATGTAGGTCTTCAGACCAGGAACACGTGTCATGCGCACCTGCACGAGGAAAACAAATGCCGAAAAGAGCGTTAGAATGTCTTCAGACTGGACCAGCAAAACCTTGTAAGGCCTGTGATGCAAACATCTTAAACGCCTACCATAGGATTAACCCAGACAGTATTTCCCACACTCATCACAACCCTGGCCTGATGCAGCTTCCCTTTGATCTTCAGACTGATGGCTCTGGTCACCTGAAATAAACATTTTGCTTTTCTAAAACAGCCGTTTATGTACAAACTGAAGAAATGTTTTCTTTCAGTAGGACTATTGAGACCTTGGGGTTCCAGTCCACCTCCCCGTCGACGGGCTGCGCTTTGCACAGGATGATCTCCACAGCCTGGCCTGGCAAATCCTGAAACTGAGGAGGAAGTTGGAGTAGCTGGTGTGATTTCACTTCCTGTGTGCGGCCTTCATCTATGAAGCAGGCAGTGACGCTGCTGAATAGCTGCTCTCCTTTTTCCGGCACTTCAATCACACACACCCTAGAACCGATATACAATCAAACAATTATTTCCCATGAACTTGTATTTTCAACTGACATGTAATTCATTCATTTACATACATAACCGTTTGGTAAACTTTCAATGTTTTTGAAAGAAGTGTGTTTTGCTCACCAAGGCTGCATTTTATTTAATACATTAAAAACAGTAATAATGTGAAATATTTTTAAAGTAACTGTTTACTATTTTAATGTTTTAAAATGTAATTTCATCCTGTGATACAACGCATTACTCCAGTCTTCAGTGTCACATGATCCTTCAGAAATCATTCTAATATGCTCATTTGCTGCTCAAGAAACACTTATCAATGTTGAAAACAGTTGTGCTGCTTAATATTTTTGTGGAAATCTGACAATCTTTTCGTCATTCTTTGCTTAATATAAAATGTTCAAAAGAACAGCACTTATTAGAAATAGAAATCTTTTGTAACATCATCTTTCTGATCACTTTTGTTTAATTTAGTGCATAATTGCTGAATACAAGTGTTCTTTTCCTTAAAAAAAAAATGAAATAAAAATGTTTTCCAAACATTTGAAAGGTACTACTGCATGTAAAACATAAATAACAGGTTTCCATAATGATGTGTACGTAAAGTGTCCCACTAGAGGGCATCTGAGAGATTACCGGTTATAGATATTCTCCTCTTGAACGGCATATAATTCTCCCTTCAGCACTTCCACAGCACAGCGTCTCTCAATAGCGTAGTGTGCGTTCATTTGAACAGCGAGAGTCTCATAACCATCGTCTTTCTGGCTCACGATGCGGCCAGAGTACACATTCGCTGACTTTATGCACAGCGGCAAAACCTTTTGAAAATCGAAAGAAACATTTACAGTCAACTGCTAGTAGAAGGCAAACGGTGACAATCAATATATAAGGTCCAGAATTAATATTTAGTGCTATTAAAATAAAAAATATGACAAGATCTCAAAACACGCAAGAACAAATTCTGAAAAGCTATTCTGTGGCATAAAATAGTAATTAAAAAGTAACCTTTTATTTTTTTCCCTTTACTTTTTAAACCCCTTACCTGTATTTTTGTCAAATGAAGTGCTCAATAGGAGAGGATTGAGCATGTGTAGAAGACGAAACTGCATCACTCATTCATTCACACATGCAGAACATTCCCACTTAATGGTGACCTCATATTTAAATAACCATTTTTGTGGTTAAAAAGCAAGTTGTACAAAATTTGTACAAAAGCCAAAATTTGCCTAATTCCTTGAAATTCCACATTTTACAACAGATTCCTTTTTAATGACTGAATTCCAGATGCTTTCCACATCTTGTAAAATATATGGTTTTTGGCTTTATGATTTCTAAGTTCTTTTAACTAACCATGACAGTCCCAGAGTCAGGGTGCTTTGGATGATCCAGGGATTTGTTGATCATGTGTCTATCCGGACAAACTGTGCTGTCTCTGTTGAGAGTGAGAATACATTTTCAAATGATGTTATTACTTCTTTACAAATAACTACTTGCATTTAACACTATTAACACCTGGCGGAAGCACTACAATGAAGCAGAGACCTGCAGAAGCCGAAGCTCTTGAGCGAGGAGCAGAGGGGTCTGTCTGTCTTCTGCTCCTCTTTGGCCTGCTGGACACCCAGAGCAAACTGTAGCAGCTCAGGGGGCAGAAGAGCGCCGCTTCTCCTCAGGTACCGCAGGACGCCACACACGTGACGGGCGTTCAGCTCCGACAGCAGCAACACCGACTGAGCTGCAGGAGAGGAGCTCTCGGCATGATCCTGTGCAGGACGTTACGAAGCAAAGCTTACGTCACACTCTCTTATATAGAACACATAGAAATATTCAGAAAAATGCACAGAACAAGATCAACCAAAGCAAGTACCATGTCTGGAAGGTTTCTGAAATTCTCTGACAGGCAGAACAGACGGCTGCCAAAGAGCTTGGGGGAGCTGGGGAACCCATAATGCACCACGCATGTGGCGTCCCGGATCCCGAGAGCCTTAAGGCAGTCGTTGGTGGTAACTGAAGGAGGAATGAGAGTAACACTGAATGCTCCCTAATATTAGCACATAGTCCCGTTTGGTTGTTTGGGTAGCCAGTTCCTCACCTTCTAGGAATGTCTTTTGTAGTTTTTTTTTAACCATTACCTTATATGTGACCCTGGACCATAAAACCAGTCTTAAGTAGCACAGGTATATTTGTAGCAATAGCCAAAAATACATTGTATGGGTCAAAATTTTTCTTTTACGCCAAAAATCATTAGGGTATTAAGTAAAGATCATGTTCCATAAAGATATTTTGTAAATTACCTACTGTAAATATATCAAAACTTAATTTTTGATTAGTAATATGCATTGCTAAGAACTTCATTTGGACAACTTTAAAGGCGATTTTCTCAATATTTAGATTTTTTTGCACCCTCAGATTCCAGATTTTCAAAGAGTTGTATCTCGGCCATATATTGTCCTATACTGACAAACCATACATCAATGGAAAGCTTATTTATTCAGCTTTCAGATGATGTATAACTCTCAATTTCAAAATATTGACCCTTATGACTGGTTTTGTGGTCATATATAGTAATTATCGCGACAGGCCTACAGGCACCAACGTATTAAAGGGGTCATAGGATGCCCATTTTCCACAAGTTGATATGATTCTTTGGGGTCTTAATGAAAAGTCTGTAACATAGTTTGGCTAAAAAATGTTTCAATGGTAGTGTAAAAAAACCATTTTCTCTTTTCAGATCAAGCTGTTTTTGTAGCATTTTCCTTTAAATGTTAATGAGCTCTGCTGACCCCGCCCCTCTCTTCCGAGCTGCTCTCAGAGAGACTGTTTACTTTAGCCGCATTCATTGTGAAACTTGCATCATGAATCATGAATGATTCGCACGAACATAGACGCATTTATGTAGATCGGGGGCGCATTCCCTTCAGAAACAGTGTAATCCACTGCGAGTTCAGCGGCTCAGATGTCGGGAGTAAATGACGACTGCTATGTTCATTATTACATCCAACAACAGAACACCTCAATCGCTTAAGAGCCATTCTTGTCTACATCTGCTCCGGCGGTGAAACAATGGCGGACTGATGACAGTCACTCAGGGCGGAGCTAAGGTAAGACACCAGTCCAGTCTGTGCTGAAACGCTACTGTCAATCAAACTATCGTGGGAGGGGCCTGTCTGTGTGACGTCACACAGACAGGCATCTGAGATCGGCTCGATTTGAGAAAGGGGTAAAGATCTAATCAGATTGTTTTTAAAAAACACTGGGTGGATTTTGATCATTTTAGGGTGGCTGTGTACACACACTGCCAACACACATTTCAGTTCAAACAACTTGTAAAAGTGCATGTAGCATTATATGACCCCTTTAAGAATCTACACAGAAAGTTCTCTAAGGATTATGTTTAAGTATCTTTATAACCTAAACAAACCTTCCCAGAATTTGCAAACTGATTTTTTTAAACAACCTATTAAAAACATATTCTGAATGTTCTCTAATGATTATTTTTAGGTTTTATTTTTAAAACCATGAACTAACCTTTCCAGAACAATACATGGAGTTTTTTTTGTGTTAATTAATTATTTGTAATAAGTTACTTCAAAAACGTACATATAAAATAGGTTATTTTGTGTTAAAGGGGTCATATGATGCGATTTCAAGTTTTCCTTTCTCTTTGGAGTGTTACAAGCTTGTGTGTGCGTGCGCGCACGCGAGCGTGTGTGTGAGAGAGAGAGAGACAGGGTAACATCACAGTGGAGTCAGCGGTCTTAACCGTGGCTTGTGTACTGCAAACACATGCCAGCTTCTTCACTGTGTCTGTCACGCGACTCTGTTCCCCTTTCTTGTTCTGTCTTTACATTTATTTTGAAAGCTGAAGCTCGCGATTATGGAAAGGGGCGTTACTTACACCAAATAATGATCTTTAAAAAAGCATCATATGACCCCTTTAATGATAAATGGGCTACCTGTTTATTTTTTTCTTTTTAATAATTAAATCCTTTTTTTTTTTGTTATGAGATTCATGGCTTATGTTTACCAAACAACAAATAAAGAATAAAGCTTATAAACCCTGGAGCACAAAACTAGTCATAAGGGTAAATTTTTCAAAATTGAGATTTATACATCATAAGAAAGCTGAATAAATGAGCTTTCCATTGATGTATGGTTTGTTATGGGACAATATTTGGTCGATATACAACTATTTGAACATCTGGAATCTGAGGGTGCAAAAAAATCGAAATATTGAGAAAATCATCTTTAAAGTTGTCCAAATGAAGTTCTTAGCAATGCATATTACTAATCAAAAATTAAGTTTTAATATATTTACAGTAAGAAATTTACAAAATATCTTCATGGAACATGATCTTTACTTAATATCCTAATGATTTTTGGCATAAAAGAAAAATCAATAATTTTGACCCATACAATGTATTTTTGGCTATTGCTACAAATATACCCCAGTGACTTCAGACTGCTTTTGTGCTCCAGGGTCACATATAGAAGATAAAGAATAACAGAGGTTAAGTTAACAAGAGGAACGTTCTCCAAACCTAAAACTTTTTTTTGGCTAACCAACAAAATGTCTGCTCTGGGCACTAAAATTATTACCTGGAAAGAAACAAATAACTTAAAAACAGACAAACCTTAAAACATTTAGTTTGACAGCTGACATTACGAATACTTACCCAGAATAACTTGCGTTCCATGGCCAATGTCTTTTCTCCACTGATCAATGACAAAATCAAACTGATCTGTCACATCTTCATGAGCTTTCAGTGTGAACACAGCAGTGTTGACCACAGCCTGAATGACAGATGTACATTACAGTAAAATCCATCAGAAGCAGAGGCCAATCAGCATTAAGACATTAGTGGTTCAAAATACTGCCATAATCTTAACTAGCAAACATTTTAACTGCCAGTAGAAAATGGACAACCTCTCGTGAAATCATTCTGTAATGTTAAGCATGACAGAGAACTTTAGATCTTCATCACCACAGAGGGATGATTAAATTCTTAAATCTGATTGGTGGATCACTACTCATCCTTCACTGTGATTGGTGGAATTCCGTACCTTATACACATGCTCGGTCTCCTCAGCGGAGTTGGTAATGATGAGGGTTTTCTGGGGTTTGGGCGGGTGGAAGTCCAGCGATCCGAGCAGAACGGAGATCTTATCGCAGTCCAGACACAGCTGAACCCTCTGAATGTGAAACACAGACTGGATGTCAGAGCTCAATAGAGGGCGGTAGAGAAATAATGGAGAGTTTATGAAGACTGACCTGATGTACCCTGCCGTACAGAGCTGCCTCCTCCATCACGGTTATGATGATGGAGGGGTAAATCATGTGCTCTCTGACCAGAGCCTCTATCCCAGCGCTCCAGCTGCTGCCCACCGCAATGATCTGCCTGGGGCACGAGGACCTCTCCTCTCCAGAGACCACCTTCTGGAAGTGCTTCAGGATAACTGACATCTTCACAGAGAGGTAAAGTGCAAAAACACTGGTCAAAACTAATTTGAGTATGCATCAACTTCTAAAAATGTGCTCTTGTGTCACCTGCTCAGGAGCTTGTGAATAAAGGACGTCTGCCTCATCCAGCACCAGGTGACACAGTCTCAGGAACAGGAAGCACTGAGCATCCAGCAGCCTCATCATTGTAAACGGTGTTGTCACCAGCAACTGACCTTTATTAACATCACAGAGACAGACACAGCAAGCTTTGGTTTTGGTCCAGATTCTAATGAAGCTCTCCACAATCGACATCTCTTCTACTTCAGATAAAAACGTACAGTTCCTCTGGATCTTGAACTTTTTGGGCTCTTCCTGGTCCACACCCAGCAGCACACTGGTGGGATGGAGGTTGTAAGTTGCTTTACTGTCCTCCAGGAGCTCCAGCACCATCTGAACTTTCTCCCAGCCCGGACATAGGATCACTGCTATGGGCTGCAGACAGAGAGACACTCAAGATGTAGCAGCAAAACTGGGATTAGATCATTAAAAGTAAGGTTGAGGTGGAGCTGCACCATATCAGAGACGATCTATGAACTTGTGCATATACAGTACGCTTTTTCAAACTTATTTTCTTCCCAAACTATATTAAGAAAAAATTAAAACCCTCATTTTGGCATCATTCAATGTTATTTGTTTGGATCACCCAAGACTGATGGTGGAGCCCATTAAGCCCACAGGTGGAGCTGTGGCTCACCGAGCCCAAATATGAAGCTGCACCAAAGGGACCAGTAATCCCAGAATTTTCTACTCTTGTGCATATGTATGGCCTTTTCCAAATATTGTAGACCAAAAAAAAGTGGTTTGAGTGACTAAATAAGATGCATTGGCCACTTTTAACGTGCATTTAGTGAAGTGTTAACTTGTACTTAGATCACCCAAGATTGATGGTAGAGGGAGCTGCACCATATGGCCCACTAAGCTCAAAGGTGGAGCACCATCGGCAGATCGAGCCCAGAATGAAGCTGCACCACAGGGCCCACCAGAACCAAACATGGAGCTGCACCATGGGGCCCACTGAGCTCAGCAGTGGAGCTGTACCATATGAGAGATGTTCTATGAAGTCTTCTGCATATATAAACATACTATACCATCACTTTCTTCAAGGCATATAGAAAAAAATTTCATTCTTATTTTGGCATCAATGTTGTCTACAAATGTGATGCAAATGCACTGTGTATTTAGTGCAGTGTCCACTTGTGATTGGATCACCCAAGACTGACTGTAATATCAGGTTGCCACGGTGACTATTTGACGTGCAACTGTATTCTTCTTTTATCTATAACAGAGCAGTGAATCTCACCCCGGTGCGAGCAGCGAGACTGGAGACGACAGAAACCGTCTGTAACAGCATCAGCAGAGGAGGAATGTAGGACAGAGGATACAGTACGCTTTTTCAAACTTATTTTCTTCCCAAACTATATTAAGAAAAAATTAAAACCCTCATTTTGGCATCATTCAATGTTATTTGTTATTTGTTTGGATCACTCAAGACTGATGGTGGAGCCCATTAAGCCCACAGGTGGAGCTGTGGCTCACCGAGCCCAAATATGAAGCTGCACCAAAGGGACCAGTAATCCCAGAATTTTCTACTCTTGTGCATATGTATGGGCTTTTCCAAATATTGTAGACCAAAAAAAAAGTGGTTTGAGTGACTAAATAAGATGCATTGGCCACTTTTAACGTGCATTTAGTGAAGTGTTAACTTGTACTTAGATCACCCAAGATTGTTGGTAGAGGGAGCTGCACCATATGGCCCACTAAGCTCAAAGGTGGAGCACCATCGGCAGATCGAGCCCAGAATGAAGCTGCACCACAGGGCCCACCAGAACCAAATATGGAGCTGCACCATGGGGCCCACTGAGCTCAGCAGTGGAGCTGTACCATATGAGAGATGTTCTATGAAGTCTTCTGCATATATAAACATACTATACCATCACTTTCTTCAAGGCATATAGAAAAAAATTTCATTCTTATTTTGGCATCAATGTTGTCTACAAATGTGATGCAAATGCACTGTGTATTTAGTGCAGTGTCCACTTGTGATTGGATCACCCAAGACTGACTGTAATATCAGGTTGCCACGGTGACTATTTGACGTGCAACTGTATTCTTCTTTTATCTATAACAGAGCAGTGAATCTCACCCCGGTGCGAGCAGCGAGACTGGAGACGACAGAAACCGTCTGTAACAGCATCAGCAGAGGAGGAATGTAGGACAGAGGACTGTCACCGCAGTGTGACACCAGTACCGTATCAAAACCGCGTGCCACAGCGGGCCAGCAGTAACTCTCTGCTACATTCAGTCCATTATACTTCCTCCACAACAGGAACTAAAACATAAAAACATTACCTAGTGAACTCAAACAGGTAAATTATCTTATATTAAAATCATTACAGTTGTGCAGTTACAGTAATATTGGCACCCTTGGTAAATATGAGCAAAGGTGGCTGTGAAAATAAATCTGCATTGTTAAACACAAAAATTCTAACCTTTCATTGAAGCAAAACAATTGAAAGTGGGGAGAAAACCTCATGATGAAATAAATGTTTTTCTCCAATGCATGTTGGCCACAATAATTGGCACCCAATAAATTCTTATGAGTAAAATATCTCTATATAGTATATTCCCATTCATATTTAAAAAAAATTGGCACATCAGTGAGACTAGGAGAATGAAATTGTTTAGCCATGACTTCCAATTCCACAGGATTATAAATATGAGGAACACAAAGGAACCCAAATTCCCTTAATCATCCATCACAATGAGTAAAACCAAAGAATATAGTTCTGTCATGACAACTCTCGGAGGGATTGGCATGGTAATGTACATGACATAGCAGATCTTTACAGGTGGAGCTGGGGAAGGTGGAGGGTTTCTGAAGCAAGCTGCAACTGCTACGGCTATCACTAATCATATATTTGAATGTTGAGCACCGAGCTCATTGGCTACCGATACAGGAGAGAACCAATAAGCTGTGCCATGTGATAATGATGTCATTATGTCAGATTGAGTTAGACCTATAGGACTGCGCCATCTAGAGTTTTATGCCAGAACTCTGTATTTCTGATGTGCAGAACAAGATTGTTGAGCTTCACAAAATAGAAAGTGGCTGTAAGAAAAGAGCTATCAAGCATTGAAAATCCCCATTTCCACCATCAGGGCAATAATTAAGAGGTTCCAATCAACTAAAGATGTTACAAGGATCACAGCTGGAGAACTGTAGAGATTAGTTGAGTCTTGGGGTCAGAAAGCCTAAAAAATATAGCAAACAGCACCTACATCACCACATGTTGTTTGGGAGGGTTTCAAGAAAAATTCTCCTCGCTCATCCAAAAACAAACTCCAGCATACTCAGCTGTCAGACACGACTGGAACTTCAAATGGCACCGGCTTCTACGGTCAGATGAAACAAACAAAAACAAAAAAACCTTTTTAAAAAAGCTTTTTGGCAGCAAACCCATCAGATGGGTTTAGTACAAACAGGGATAAAAAGTACCCCATGACCACGTGGTTAAATATACTGCTAGATCTAATGTTGTGGGCCTGTTTTTTCTACCGAAGGTCCTGGACATTTTGTTCAGATGCATGGCATCATGGATTCTATCAAATACCAACAGATACAAAATCTAAACCTGACTGCCTCTGTTAGAAATCTTATAACGGACTGTGGTTGGATCTTCCATCAGGACAATAATCTAAAACAAACATCAAAATCAACACAAAAGTGTGTCACTGAGCACAAAATGAAGCTTTTTCCATGGCTGTCCCAGTCCTCTGACCTGAACCCTATGGAAAATGAGTGGTGAACTGAAGAGAAGGAGCTGTGAATCTGAAGGATCTGGAGAGTTACTGTATGAAGCAATGGTCTCTGATCTCTCATCAGGTGTTCTCCAAACTCTTCAGGCATTATAGGAGAAAACTCAGAGCTGTTCTCTTGGGAAAAGGATGTTGCAATAATTGGGTGCCAATAATTGTGGCCAACATGAACTAGAGAAAGCATTTATTTCACGATGAAATCCCCCCAACCCCCAACCTTCATTTGCTTTGCTTCAATTACAGGTTAGAATTTAGTGAATTTTTTTAATGAAAGATCAAAAGGATAAACAATGCAGATTTATTTTCATTGCCACCTTTGCTCATATTTACCAAAGGGCGCCAATATTAGTGAAGGGCACTGTATACCTCACATTCTACCATTTTTGTACACTCACAGTAGGAAGTTAATTAAGTCGGACTCACTTCCCATAACACTCTGCAGTAGAAATGGGTCAAATCATGCAAAATGCTAAATAATGCAGTGAATGTTCTAATATGAACATTATTAAGGGATGCTAATTGACCTTTCTGAATTTCTCACTGATGGGTGCACGTGTCAGGTTACTGCAGGGTTCAACACGAAGGGCGGCGTGCACTAAAACTCCTGAGTGACCCGGGTCACAGCGTACAACCTGTGAAACCAAACAAGAGAGATTAAATACCAGAATACACATAAGATCTAAGAAATGATCAAATACAGAAAACAAACAACGAGGCTCTTACTTTGGCATCAAGAGACTCTTGGGCTGGATTGAGTGGATCAGGGTTCAGAAACTGCATAAGTCTGTCCACAGTTACATAAAAAAAAAAAAAGAAAAGGTGAAAAAGATTAAGTAAATTAGAATAAATGAATATGACTGACAGATGTTTTAGCCCCAGGGGGCAATTGAAGTTTAGAGGTAATGTAAAACCTACCTAGAAGAGGTCAGTTGATCTTCAAGACTGGGCTCTTGTGAGGGAGCTGCCACTTTCTGCTCTTCTGAGGAGTCGCTCGCACTTTGAAGACACACAAACAAAAGCAAAACCATATTTTCACATGAAATAGGTGGGTTGCAGAATGACTAATTGGTCTCAAGTAGGCCCTGTATCATCATGCTGGCTTCAGATTCACTTGACGCCAATCAGACACGCTCATGTTCGAAAAAACTCTCTGGTCCTACCATGATGAACTTGCAGCTGGTGTTGAAGCGATGCGGTTATTGTCCGTTTGATCAGAACTGTGCTGCTGCTCTTCAAAAGACTGAAAAGATTTCAATTCACTTCATTTCACAGTAACTCATTTTCTATTCGTTATTCACTCATGTACCAACTACTTCAATTTCAGAAGATAAAAAAATAAACATAATTAGTTACAAAACTACATTTTAACAGACATCAGTACTTACTTGAGGAATCTGCTTTGAATGTGAAAGTGTGTTAAACTTCATGTATCTGTGAAAAAAAAAGTACTTTATTCCTTAACATTGCATTATTATTTACTGAACTACATTGTTGGCAAGTATATTTCAGTTTGTATTGACACCTGACTTATTATATTCGAGTTATGAGCTATTAAGTCAGGAGGGACGAGGTTCAGGTGGAAATCTTACTGAGGCTTGTGAATGTTAGTCTGAGCACTGCGTTCATCTGTGAAGATGTCAGTGGCCTCGGCTCTGATACGCCATCCTCTGCCAATCTGAATCAAACCACAGAACTAAGTTTAACTGGCAGACACACGCACACCGCCATACCACTGTAAACGCACACTTACAGTATCCGTTCCAGCATTGCGGGCCAGTTTAGAGACTCGAGGGTTAACCTGAGATAGCATGTCTGCTTCCTCTGACAACTGTGGTTTCTGCCTCTCCAGATGAGAAACGTCTTCCGTTTCTGAATGAGAAACAAAGTAAATTTAATTAGTTAAACAAAACAAAAAAAAGTTACGTTAACGTAAGCAATTTATGTTTTCATCTGCCATAATAATGTAATATCTCTGAATATCATCGCATTGCTCAGCAAATACTAATATGTGATATAGTTGGCGTATTTTGTAATTCAATTACAATTTACGTACAGCGAATAGGACTAGACCAACTATATAATTTTACATATATAAAATACACAAATATTAAAGAAAACAGTCAGACAAGACGATGGCGGAAGATTTAGTTTAGAAACGAAATGCAAAAGCGCCAATTTTTTTGGCAATATTTTGGATTTTGAAAAGCCGGTTGTCTTTTCCCGTTTATCCAAGGTGATTTTGGAAGTTTTTTAAAACATTAATATCTAATTTATTTTGTTCTAGAGTGTTTGCAGATTTTTACTTCATTTGAAATTTGTGTAATTTATTTTATTTTATTTGACATCAAGGTGTATATGCCTTGCCTCCAAGCTTTCTTATTCGTTTTGCTAATAAACGTTCTATGTTTCTTATTTATTTGGTTCCACAGTGTTTGCTGATTTTCAGTTTTGTATACCTATTTAAACTTTGTGTAAGGTATTTGTTATTTTATATTAGGCATAGCCTATAGCATGGTGTATTTTTATTAGTTTGGTTACTAAAAGTTCTACGATTAATATACAGGCTAAGTGAGTTTGACGCATTTAGTTGTTGCTTGAATTGAATTCAAGCAATTGATGCCAAATTGCCAATTATTTGAAAGTGAAAGTAAAATGCGCACGGCACTTTTACAAGCTATTTAAAAGCAAGGGAAAGAGGGAAAACTAAGTTCCTCACTGACACAACCCTAACACACAGACACATTGAAATGATATTAACCCCTACAATAATTGATGTTCACATTATTTTGTCCAACCCTTGTATATCTTCATTCATTCATTAGCATGACCTGTCCGAGGATCATCTTTCTGCTCTTTTCTGGTGAGAATGGAGAATGGTGGAGGTTTGACAGGACAGCATCCTTTCATTTCTAAGAGCTGGTGAGGGCTGGAGTAGATGTCCCATGCCAGGCTGATAGGAGCACGATCTCCATTCCTGTTCCCTTCCAGCGCACTGGACTCCTCTTTCAGGAAACAGGCAAACTTCTTCGCCACGAGCTCATGGTTCACACACAGCTACACAAAGACAGTGATTTTCCACATAACATTTAACCTAAAACACCTGCAGTCAATCTCACTTGTTCAAAATCCTGTTCGGGACAACTTTGTGTTTTGAGGATGGAAAAAAAATGTAATGTGAACATATTTTACCTTCGTATTATTAATAGTCAAGTAGAGCTCAATGGCAGAGCAGCCTGCTTGCGTTTCACACAGAACGGCTTCAACCAGAGTTGACACTAAAAACAAGCAGAGCCTCAAAAATCACTAAACACTCACAGGAAACATGAGCTGGAATAACTAAAGCCCATTTTTACCTTGTAATAGATTGTGCAGGTATTTTGTGGCAGAGCTGTCCCATGTTGAAGATGGACTGAGATAGAGAAACATACAAACAGCGGCTCAGAATGCATGCAGTGATGCCAAAAGCTTTCTTCAGGAGAAATGACTTACACAAGCTCTGCTGTGTTTTCTGAGACGGGCACCTGAAGCGTCATCGGACGAATTCCTGCCAGTTTAAAGCGCCTCACTCTGAAAGGAAGCTGCAGGAACTTCTCGAGAGGAGTTCGCACACTGAGAGGAAATTCATTTATGGATTAATGAAGAGTACAGATCGAAGCTCTCGATAAACCTAAGTACTAATGTAATGTTGACACTAGGGCTGTCAAAATGGCTGAAAAACTAAATTCGAATTTTGTACTTAAATATTATCAAAATTCAAATTTTATTCAAATTTAAAATGCATAATTTCAGTTATAGGGGGAAGAATAGCTTTTGGCTTCTCTTCTGAAGCCACAAGAGGGCTCATCGAGCAAAATAGTACTAATGCACGTTTATTCAAAGCATAAGCTAACATGACTATATCTGTGAAAATAAAGTGCATAATGTTTAAAAACCAATTATAATTAAGTTGCTTAAACAACTATAAACAAAACAGCATCATGTGTGTATGCATAGTTTAATACAAAGGACCGAAAGCATTATTACATATTTCATTTAAAAACATGAGATGCAGTGGGATGGGGGAAAAAAACTGCCATAAAGTCTCGATATATGTTTTAGGGGGAAGAATAGCTTTTGGCTTCTCTTCTGAAGCCACAAGAGGGCTCATTGAGCAAAATAGTACTAATGCACGTTTATTCAAAGCATAAGCTAACATGACTATATCTGTGAAAAAAAAGTGCATAATGTTTAAAAACCAATTATAATTAATTAAGTTGCTTAAACAACTATAAACAAAACAGCATCATGTGTGTATGCATAGTTTAATACAAAGGACCGAAAGCATTATTACATATTTCATTTAAAAACATGAGATGCAGTGGGATGGGGGAAAAAAACTGCCATAAAGTCTCGATATATGTTTTTTTAAAGTTAAACTAATTGAGCATTAATTTTACATGGCTTTCTAAACATGCAGCTCTTTTGTGCGAGACGCGAGTGCAAAGGTGATAGATGTCCCTCTAGAAAATGCGTGAAATATGCGTTCTGTGTGAACGGCTTGGTTTCAGTTTTGACGTAAACAAGATCTTCTCCGCATTGATGTTCTCTTTTCCAGCGATATTTTTAATGAACAACGCAGCAGCGCCGCATCTAGTGGCTTCAACTTCAACAGGCTAACAAAAACATTATAATGCAACAACACTTGCATCGTCATCGCATCTCGTGCGCCACTGATAAGGCTGCGTCCTTAACGCACACCTAAAATTAGATTTTTTTCGAATGTGGATTTTTATTTTAAATTCGACGAATATTCGAAATTCTAATTTTTTTTTGACAGCCCTAGTGGACATCCTGTGGAGGAAGTTCTGTGTCAGCTGTGCTTTATCAGAACTACAAAACGTCTCGTACTCCTCTGCTCCGACGATGATTCGATCTCCGTGATCTACTAACAAGCACCAAGCCTGCATGTCCACCTCTGTGTGAACGGCTTGGTTTCAGTTTTGACGTAAACAAGATCTTCTCCGCATTGATGTTCTCTTTTCCAGCGATATTTTTAATGAACAACGCAGCAGCGCCGCATCTAGTGGCTTCAACTTCAACAGGCTAACAAAAACATTATAATGCAACAACACTTGCATCGTCATCGCATCTCGTGCGCCACTGATAAGGCTGCGTCCTTAACGCACACCTAAAATTAGATTTTTTTCGAATGTGGATTTTTATTTTAAATTCGACGAATATTCGAAATTCTAAATTTTTTTTGACAGCCCTAGTGGACATCCTGTGGAGGAAGTTCTGTGTCAGCTGTGCTTTATCAGAACTACAAAACGTCTCGTACTCCTCTGCTCCGACGATGATTCGATCTCCGTGATCTACTAACAAGCACCAAGCCTGCATGTCCACCGTCCCCTGAAAGACAGACTCAACCACAGCTCGACACCAGCTCTTCAGAGCCAGACTGAACACCACACACACCTGAGAGAGGAGACAGGAAAACTTACAGCACCAATCACCTGAAAGCATTATTCAAACCTATAAAATCAAGTATACTCTCTCAAAACACTAAATTTTTTTCTCCCCATTTTAAATGAACATCAACATTTTAGTGGGATATTTATATAAATGCAAATTTTAGGTGACATAAATGGTTATCTTTTTAAAGTTTTACTTGGTTTTAATCAACTGTTTTCCTTCACTGCTTCATTTTAAGTCAATATGTTCATTTAAGAAGACAGCGTGAAAAGACTAGCATGTCACACCACGGGACAAATCAATCTCTTACAAGTATTGCAGCTTCCAAGCATGTCAACTACCCAAATATTACACACAAAAAGTTATTATTTTTAATATATATCCATGTTCTGATATCATGCTCTGACCCTTTAAGACTTGCACTCTATTTGGATTCGAAAACGGTAAAACTCAACTGTTTAACTCTAGGGGAGTTGGAAAATTAGCCTAATTTCAAAAATAGTGGAGTGTTCCTTTAAGCTAACTGAGACTTGTCATAGCACTTGCGTATCATTGCTCTTTTGTTGATTTTGATTGCTTCTATTGTCCTCATTTGTTAGTCGCTTTGGATAAAGGCGTCTGCTAAATGACTAAATGTAAATTAGGGTTGTGCCGATTTTAGTCTTACGCTGGAGCTGGTTCACTTTCTGGCAATGAAACTATGTAAATAAATAATTAAATTAGCACGATAATATTGTGTATCGGCGATCTCACAGGCTGACGATAGGTCGATATGAAAATTGAGCATATCGCTCAACACTAATGTAAATGTAATGATATGACATACCAGCCCTTCCTTCAGTTCAGCAGGCCTTAGTTTCTGTACGTCCAGGTCGACCTCGTGGTAGAAGAGGTTCATTTTCACTCTCAGGCTCTCATATTCCTCTGGACTGTCCGGCTGAATGCCTGATCCTTTCAGAACTCGAGCCCACAGGCATCCCGGATCTTCAATCTGACACAAGACAGAGCGTGTTAGTTACATTTTATGAAGTGGTCACTGGAGTAGACTGAATATTTATTAAATATTTGCTATAAAAGCTCTTCTGTCAGCTTGTTGTGTTTTAATTAGCATATGCTGTATACACACACACACAAAAGATACAAAGGAAGATAGCTTTCAATATGTCTATGAAGGCATATAGAAATTTAAAAAAAAATTGATAAAAAAAAGAAAAACCGAATCACTTTAAAATCAAACTAAACAAAATAATAAATAACAGTATTTTAACAATGCTAAAATAATGCTGTTTGCTTCATATACGATAGAAACTGCTGTCATGTAGTGCTTTACCTTCATTATTTGTATTTCTAACATTTCTTCAATTTCCACAGCAAAGCCTGCAAACGAGTGAATAAGAATAAGATAAAATGCATTAAAAATTTTAATTACAAGACATCAACATGACGGCAAATGTACAGTCAGTGTACAGTGCTGTGAAACAGTATGTGTGCATCTCATGAAAAGTGTAGGGTTTTATTAAAGGGGTCATATGATGCGATTTCAAGTTTTCCTTTCTCTTTGGAGTGTTACAAGCTGTTCGTGAATAGATAAGATCCCTGAAGATGCAAGTATTATTTGTTGCCATATATGACACCGGATCACCATCAGAAGGCCCAGAAGCTCTCGCAGCTGGTTTGCGGTCAAGACCATTTGCTGAATCACGCAAACTAGGAGTATTTAAGAAACCTGTTGGGAAACAAGTCAACAGTTAAAGTGAAATCACACTCCCACACACACACATGTTGCTATTTAAAAATGTCCACCGCCTCCGTTACTACTAATAACACGATGAACTAGCAACACTGACAGACGAGTCGTTCCTGAGAGGCTAACGGAGCGACAAGGAGGCAGTATGATTGTTTTTATACAACAGTTGGATTAACTTACATTTTAGACACAATATTGGCAATTACTTTGTTTTCCGCCGCCGCAACGCCGAGCTGCACTTAAACCCGTTCCTGAAACTCTTCAATGATTCGTTGTTTTTGAACAAAACGGTTGAATGACTGATTCAATGACTCGTTCGGCCGTTTGAACGAATCGGTTGAATGAACGATTGACTGTCGCAAGACCTACCGGAGTAAAAACTATGGAACGATATTCCGGACAATTTTCAAATAGATTAGCAAATTGTATTTTCAATTGTGTTTTCAATGTGTGGACGCATAAATTGTGACATAATTCAAATGCAATTGCAAATCCTGCGTTACCGTTTGCATTTTCGCTTTCGGGAACGCACAGTGACTGCCACATTTCTAATGAAAAAGCAAAGTCCATTTGCAACTGTATTTCCCATGTCTTAGGAGTTACGAGCCTGTCATATTTAAATAGCAATATTAATTACCACGTCTGCTTTTTCACTCTTGCTGCGTTGCGCATGTAACCTGCCAAAACTCAAATGGAATCGCAATTAATATTGCTATTTAAATATGACAGCCTCGTAACTCCCAAGACATGGGAAATACAGTTGCAAATGGACTTTGCTTTTTCATTTGAAATTTGGCAGTCACTGTGCGTTCGCGAAAGCGAAAATGCAAACGCTAATGCAGGATTTGCAATTGCATTTGGATTATGTCACAATTTATGCGTCCACATATTGAAAACGCAATTGAAAATAAGATGACTGTTTTTAATATTTAATAGTTTTTATCCATATATAACTGCTGGAGTACCAAAACAACACAACAGCACATTCGCAGTAACGTTAGTTAACGGAAGAGTTTATGAGTTTAAGCTAATCCTTTTGCACATTTGGTGTTTACAGGCAACTAAAAACATTATTTTTGCCTGCTAGCACTTCTTAAAGACATGGAAGTCATTAAATGCGTTAGTTAATGACGTTAATAGCGTTCGTGGGGTGTCAAATACATGATCATTTAAGCATAAAATACGAAAAAGATTCTTACCCCTTTTTTAAATTTTATTATTATTATTTTTAGCTTTTTGACGAGTTACAGACCAACATTAAAGGTGCATACCGCCACCTACTATATTGGAGTGTGTAAGATCATGGCTTCTGATCTCATTTTATAATCTTCTAATAAGACCAGTTTCATGCAAAACATCCATTAGTGCCTTAACAACTTCCCTTTGAGAATGATCTATTCCTAAAATGTCTTTAATATCCCATTTTCTTCCTGATTTGATGATACATTCTTTAAGTGTTTTTCCTTTCTTCCTCATATTGCCTACAGTCTAATATGTAAAACAGAGTTGTAAAATACATATGTAAATACATACAATACTGATCTGGAAAGCATCTGCTGTGTACAAACATCTGTAAGATGTCAGTTTTACATGCATTCTAAATCATAAACATCTTAAAGACATCTAATAAGCGTCTATTTGGCATCTAGGAAACGTCCAATAGACATATTGCAGATGAGTAAACGCTAAAAAATACGTCTTGCAGATCTAAATGCATTGCAGACGTCAAATCGACGTCTCCGTGATGCACGTGTGCTATGATCAAAACTTTGTAATGTCATTATATGTTCAAATTGAATCTGCGCTATGCTCTGTTTGTTTCTTATATATTTTGTATTGATATTGTTTGTATGTTCCTTTTTTCTGCAATAAAAAAGTGCAGCAAATATAAATCACACATATCTTCTTTAAAACAATGAGTTGGTTGTTTAGCCTTAACTATGTTTGCGTAAAATATGAAATATTTGGGACAGTGCATTGTCCAGTCTTATCAAAATGCACTTTTATATTGTTGTAACCATTCGTCTAGTCATTAGAAGCAGGCATAGCTGTTTGATATTATCTTATTAGGCCTACAAATCAAATTGTCCGTGTGTATTGTGTTAAATGTCATGTTTACTAATATAATGAACAATACAAAATATCTTTACACATTAAAGTTCCAGTCCACCTCAGCTTTGAGGTTAATCTAAATGCTAGTGTGCTCCTTCTAGCAGATACATTATCTACATTTTACAACCTTTCTGTCCAAACAATCAGCAAAGCCCCTTTTAGCTAGAAGCATTTTATTCATCAGATATTCCATATATAGTACAATTATCACAATTAGTACAATTACTAGTGATTGTGTTTATCCTGGTTTTAGATGTTCTTTTTAACATTCCAAATTAATTATATACATGCATGCATATATTGTGCAGGTCTTGGCATGACATTGCTGATGTTTAATTTGAATGTAATTGGCAAGCATCATGCTGAAATAATACTCATAATTATAATCAGACATCAAAACATAATCTTTCTGTTTGTTTTAATGGTGAGGCTAAAACTGCATTCTAGAGTCAGGTAGAAAAAGACAATTTTGTCTTTCAGATAAAGATTTCATATGAAGGCAGAACTGAAAACACTGTTTTCCTTACTATATATACAGTGTATATTACAAAGGTCATTTGAATTTATAGCACTGCAAAGGTACATTACAGTCATTTTGGAATATTTAGACAAATCGTCTTCAAACATTTTCATCTTCTTGGTTCTTAATCGTGTGTTATCTTATTGAGCATCAAATGAATGTTTGCAGGCAATGAATGTTTGTAATAATCACATATAATTCCCTCAATTTTTATAAGTGGCAAAGTCGAATCTGAAAATCATACAGTATATAGCCACTGCTGGGAAGAATTAACTTTCTAACTAACAGTGAGCAGCTTCACTGCAACAAGAGACAATCAAGAGTCACTGATCATTAAAGGTGGGGTAAGTTATTTCTGGTAGCCAATGTTGATATTTGAAATCACCAAAACAAACACGCTCCTACCCCAAAAGGGTCTTGCCCCTATTTTGATAGCTCCGCCCCACACATATGTACGCAACCCAGGCAACGATTAGTTCTGTGAAACAAAGCAAAACCAATGTAACACCGTGTCTACATCGGACGCGAGCTCGGACGCGAGCAGCGCGGCGCAACAAATCCCGACAGAAAATTCCTGCCAGGTTCTATTTATGACGTGCTGACACATTTCAAATGGTTTTCACCGGTGGTTTGATCGCGTCCAGTGTAGGCAGACTTTAGCTGTTGTAGACACGGTGTTACTCACCCATTGATAAGAAACAAAGCAACCTCGGCGTCCGCAGGCCGATCGCAGGCCTCCGCTCCTCGAGTTCTCTCCAGCGCTGGAAAGCTGATCCGATATTTACACGGGTCCTACTTCTTGCCTTATCGTTCCGCAGACGTTTTCCTCTTTTGTTTTTTTATCCGCCATCTCTATCTTTCTGTCGCTCGGCTCGGCTAATGTCCGTCCCATGCACTGAAAGCTCTCTCCTCCACATCACGAGTAGACACGCCCCTTACTGCTGATTGGCTACAAGTTTGTTTTGCTATTCGGCCCAAATCTGTTTTCTAAAGTGTTTTTGAAAAATTACATACCCAACCTTTAAGGAAAACAATACTAAGAACCAAGGGTATGCAAACTTTTGTACAGATTAATTTGTTTAAATTCAATTCAATCATGACAACTCTCAGAAGATTTTAGCATGGTGACATGGATATGACAGTGTTAATGTATTTGGTCTTGGCGGAACAGATCTACTACGCTGCTGCTGTTGGTTATTGCTGTAGTTGTAGATTATTGCTGCTGCTGCAAGCAAGTACAGGAACTTGCTACTGCCAATGCATACGGCGATACGGTGCCGTGAGTATTTAAGACATACTGCTGCACAAATAGCATATAAAATAACCCCTAGCAGATCTATACAGGTGGAGCTGGGGAAGGTGGAGGGTTTCAGAGAACTCTGAAAGCGTGCTGCAGGAATCTCAAGTGAATACTAGCCAGCCATATGAATGCAAGGCAGTTAGCTCATTGGCTGCATATGCAGCATGAACCAATCAGCTTGTGCCAAGTTGTTTAACTCTCTGAATATCATCAGTTACGTTAACACCCTGTCAGAATGCGCCATCTAGAGTTTCATGACTGAACTATATATTTATTATTGGCTTGTGGAATATGTTTAAATAACTAATGTAACTTTTACGTCACTCTACGACCAACAGCACTGCCAGTGTTCAATTGTCTGTGACTGAGGATAAGCTGGCATTAGATTTAACCCTTGAGAAGTGAGTATTTGTGTTGTGTTGAACCATGAATCATGTTTTGAAATTTGCATAAATAAATATGTGGGGCAATATTTCCCCGAAAACTGCATTCATTTGTTTCTTATGGTTTATAAATGTATTCCTGTATGCAAACTGTGGAAGGTTAGGGAATTCTGTTATTAGTTTGTCTGGGTATCTGTTGTGTATTGTGGAGACTTTCCTGCCAGCTCTACTCTGGGTTCATCATACTCTGTAGCCAATCAGATGCAAGCTTGCCATTTAACCAATCATAACACTCTGAAGAGCGCAGCAGGGACTCAAAGAAAATGGCTTTGTGCACATTTTGTGCAATATGACTTTCAGCTTATCTGAGGACCACAATCAGTTTTTTTTTAGAGCTGGGCGCAGCCAGCATTACGACCACATTTGAATTCGAAGAAATCACGATAACACTCTGAAGAGCGCAGCAGGGACTCAAAGAAAATGGCTTTGTGCACATTTTGTGCAATATGACTTTCAGCTTATCTGAGGACCACAATCAGTTTTTTTTTTAGAGCTGGGCGCAGCCAGCATTACGACCACATTTGAATTCGAAGAAATCACAGAGCGAACTTCCAGATCCACAACTGGGCCCTCAAAGTTGCAATTAAGATAAATCAAGAATATTTAAAAATGTAATTGAAAAAGCTTGACAAATGCAAACACTGTTTGCCGAGTCCAGTGTTACTGTTTCGTTGGCTGCTCACTAGCTCCCTCTGTAGGTGCTGTATGAGTAGCTGCTGACCAGCAGTGGCACATGCAAGCTCTGATCAGCATCACTAACAGTGAAGAGAGTTCAGTGACATTACTATCATGTCTGATATTCAGACTGCGTAAATACAATCTCTCCTACATCAGCTCGCTACTATTCACAAACCTCAACATATGGGCAAAAGCTGAACTGTCCCAAACTCTCCCAGTACTGGCCCGTCTCAAAGCGGATCTTGTACATTCCTGGAGTGAAGCCATCGCTGGTTATTAGTCCTGGACAGCGTCCATCCTCATTTGTGTTCCTGAAATAATCAATGGCACGGTATTTAACATAACAGCAAATTTCCAGGGTTTCAATAATAAACCTCTTAAAATTTGACCCAAAATTTGGACGGTAGGTAACAGTTTTCGGAATTACAACAGAAACAATAACGTACTTTCGTTTAATCATTATTAATTGTATGACTGTTCAGTGGCTGTTTTAAATTAGATAAAAAATAAATCTCTCATTGTTTGGCCAAACAGATAGTCCTGCCCCAAACTCACATCATTACGATACGGTACGATACGATACCATATACTTTATTGTCCCCTTAGGGGACAATTTTCTTGGGCTTAGTGTATGCTGCATATACACAAATAAATAAGCACATAAATCACATATGTAGCATACTAAACAGGGGGCAAAGCATGCAGACAGTATATCAAAAGTCACAGTGCACAACGGAACAACCCCTATTACACAACTTCCTGACCCATAAAACCAGCAATAAATAAGAATAAAATAATGTAAGACACATTATTGATCATTAGTTGAGTCAGTGTTTCTTTGTCAGGCTGGTCGAGATGTTTAAAAACATCCCAAAATGACACACTTCAGCTTTAATCAATAAATGTGTACCCAGCCGATAGTCATGAGGTTCCAGATGGCCATGCGGGGGTCCAGGCGGTGTAGACTGAGGGCCACTCTTGCCGCTGGGACCCCGTCTCCGGTGTTCAGCACGTGTGTCTGCTGCTTTTCACTGAAGGACCCATAGCTGTAAACCTTAAAACACATAGAGAAATAATCATTTTAAAGAGAGGTATCCTCATAAAATTTGCCCCATCTGATTCTTTCAAGTCAGAAAGTATTAATTCACTAAAGGATTATTCAAAACCCCTCAAAAACAATACTAGTCGATAAAAAAAAAAAAAAACACACACATGACAACATTAATTTTAAACTTGTGCAATGAACACCAGCTTCTAACTAAACGATTGAAAGGGTGTGTAAGAGAAGATGTTAAGGTCTTACCTGTTAAGAATCCAGTGTCCTCTGGTTGTGCTCTGTTTGATCCGGACTCACTGTTTGATTAGTTTCAATGAGTTCATCAACCAAACAAACCAGCGGAAGCACACAGGGTTCATATTTAAGCCAACAGCTCTTAAAAGCATTTTAGTAAAACAAATCTTTCGAATATAAAGTACCACAAAACAAAAGCTGTTTTGAATCTACAGTCATACCTTGAAGTCTTTCACATGCAAGAAAGCGGGACAAATGGAGCTGAAATGCTGATTGAGGACAGATGCACTTCGAGCTCCAGAAACTTGTTTGATTTGGTTCTTTACATGTGTGAAAAAAAATAAGGATAATAATACAGTAAGGTAACTGTTCAACAGCACCAGTTTGAATCATATGGATCAATGGTTTTCAGACCCAGAGACCCTCATTATTATATATAAAAAAAGAAAAGCAATGTTTTCTTTAAGAACATTAACTAACACCATTACACTATGTATTGCTTAACAGATCATTAGTCAACAAGTAGTTAATAGTTAAAATGTCTTGTAAATAGAAGTTTAATCATCTCCCCTAAAGTGCTGATTCAAAACGCTGGTGATTGTATAGATAATGACTTTTAACACTTTTATTACAATTCTGTCCGTAACATTATATTTGGACAAAAAGACATTTGAGTCTCTATATCAACATACTGTACATGACTGTATTTTTATTTCTGTAGGTGAATACATTCACAATGCAATTGACAAAGTGATACAAACAAAACAGCATTCCACAATATTTTACATAACCACAGTAATGTATTACAAAAAACAAACAAAAAACCATTCAGCAGGAAATCACTATTTCATGACTTATTTCAAAAGACTTGAAGTGAAGAAGAAAAACCTCGACTACATTTTTCACATGAAGAAAAAGACATATCCTTATCATACAGTAAATCTAGTCATAAAACTAAACTGGCCAGAGCGAGAGATTAATGGGAAATATTTGCACATCACTTGCACTGACCAAACACCAACAACAGAGGTAGATGGTAGTCATTGTGCCAATTCCAAAATTATGAATTATGTAACAATTATTACACATTTTGTGAATTTGAAAGACATTTGGGTTAAAATTAGTGGTTATTCACATCTTAAATCTCATGTTTGGCTCATAAATATACATAATTGAACAATTTTTTCAATATACCAGGGTCTATCAGTTGATATACGTAGATATTATTAGCATGAGCCATTTAATAACCCATTTCAGTTGAGCTGTTGTGTAGAACCATAATATAATTTATGTAGGATATTTGCAATAACAAGTGTGTGTGTGTGTGTGTGTGTGTGTGTGTGTGTGCTTTAATTGTATCCTGATCTCGAGTCGTATCAGTGTTTTACTGACTGAAATCATGGAAAAAAACAGCTTGTGTTCATATAATTCATAAATCAGCAGCAGCTTTGGTCTGTTTAAACCGCTGTTCCACAACTGGATTTAAACCGGATTCATGTTCACTTTACATGATGACAGTTTCAACAGATCTGGATATCTGGAACTGATCCAAATATATTTCCCGATCGTTTTCTTTAGAGCATCGTTAGAGATCCTGTGCCTTTTACCCAAAACTTGGTATCTGAATTTGGAATCTGTGAGAAAGAGCAACAGAACATTTAGAGGGGAACAACATTTTGGCAGTTTATTAAAAAAAAAAAAAAAATTACAGGTTCCAACTTACCTGAAACCTGTCTTTACATATAGAGCATATCTGATTCATAGTAATTAACCTAGAAAACACATGCATGGATAAATGTCATGGATAGACTGTAAAACAGCAAACATTTTATAGCATTATACCATTTTTTTATATCCTGTAATATTGTTGAAAGATGTTTTATTCAATCAATCAATCAATCAATCAATCAATTACAATAAAAATGTTGCTTTGTAAGCCTGATTCAAAATCTACATTTAATTTAAATTCATCATGATAACCACAGTTTACATCGCCATAATTATTACAAGAAACCTGTCATTAACCTCTCATTTCATTTCACAATTATAAGAATGACAACTGTAATGCACAAAAATGTGGTTATTATAAAAGTAATGCGAAAAATGTCACTCAATAAGTAACATAAAAATAACAATAACAGCATTTTTGACTGAATTGTAACGTGTATATATATATATATAAATGTCCTTCAGTAATAGTAAGAAGCTTCACAATCTTCAGAATGTTTAATTTCACTACGTTTGACAGTGGCCACAACTTCTTTAACTATGAAAATTTAACAGTAAATTTATAAAAATGCAGACTTAATTTATGGGTATATGATTGATTTAATCTGGTCTCACGATTACATTAATCACATTGTTCCTAAGTGTTTGAGTAAGAGTTGAGCATTAGCCATTGTGTGTGTGTGTTTACATGCTGTCTGTCTTCATCACTGCTGTCTGCAGTCTGTGGGCTCTGTGTGTCTCTGTCTGTCCTCAGGGGAGGAGGGCTACCAGACGAATCGTCCGCACTGTTCACAGAGCCATGGAGCGGAGAGAACGCCACACCGTCTCCTGAGATTCACACACACACACACACACACACACACACACACACGCTAAATGACATAAAACTGAAGATCAAGGACAGAAAAGCTGCCAAGGCGCTGAAGCAACACCCCCTTCAGAGGCCCCCCTTGCACAAAATGTGAGACTTAATGTCCAAATAATGACAAATAACATCACAAATATGAGACAGTCGGAGACCCCACTGGCCTGGTTCATAATCCACCTTTGCAAGGTGCATCTGATGATGAAAGAAGGAGCGTTTTACCGGCCAGCTCTTGGCTTTGAGGGTCCATCCGCTCCAGACTGTCCAGCAGCTCGTCTATCTGTGATTTAATCACTGTCAGTTCTTTCTTAATGCACATCAGCTCCTCCATTCTCACTGCAGAGAGAAGGAGGTTGGCGAGCATTAATGTTATGTTCAGCGACTCTAGCGACTAACTAATTGAGACAGTATTAACAAACATATTGCATTTCAATTTGCCACCACCAGTGAAGCAGAAATGACACACTGCAGCTTTAAATAAAGATGTAAAGACATCTGAGATGTAGCCTAGCAGTTAGTGCGCAAAAAAATAGTGGATTTTGTGATAAAGCATGTCATTTCTGTGCAAGAAGCAGCACCAAATGAACTGCAAAAATAACTGTTTCCAAACAAGTTTCCCAACTTTTTTTTATGCCCCACCCTCCATCTGTCATTGGTTGGACAAACATGTAGCCCCTCCCCAAACTCACACCATTGGTTGAGCCACAGTTTGAGTGCTTGCACCATTTTAAGCATAGTATAGCATAAAAAATTTTATATTTCAGCTTACCTCATCCAAAAGATTCAATTGTCGGACTTTCAAGAGACAAATAAGGAAGCCCCGATATAAGCAACTCTTCTAATCTAATGTCTCTAATGATGGAAACTTAGATTGGACCGCTTTTCCACAGCGTGTTAACACCACTCAAACACCCCTCCAATCCCAGCTGGATAAAAAAAATCCCATTCCAGCTCAGCACCAGCCATTAAAAAGCGGTTTGACCTCCCAGCTACAAAGGCAAACTCATTCTACTGCGATCTGCTGGCAGTAAAAACTATTAGGGCTTGTAATAAAGCACTATAAACGCTTCTTATTGGTCATGCACTATTAATTTGCTATAATTGCTTTTGGTGATAGGCTAGGTTTGATTACTGAGGGAGTAGTTCTATAGCGGAGGGAGGATTTTAATGAAGAAACCATCTGGAGTTCGTCAGCAGAGGTGCATGCATGCACATAGTTATAGACGCTCACCAAAACACGATTATATGAGCAACATTCACCAAGACACAATCTAAGGGTAAAAAACACTGTAATGCGATGCTGATATTTACCATGAGACGCAAACGCAAACATCAATGCTAATGCATTGCAACACTGTACCTTTCTATATAATATGCTTTCTCACTGTGACAAACTCCAGGACTCAAGGGGGCGATAGAGTTACCTTAAATTTGCTCAGGCAGCTTGTTTATAAACATACTGACATTTTAACTTGAATTTGCACAGCAATATCAAATTTATTCAGTTTATAACTCTATTCTTTTAATGTTTCTTAGGGAAATTTCACAGACGAAATCCAATCATTTCAATAGGAATCCGCATAGTCGTGAGTTTCATGTGTGGGCGAAAAAAATGTGAAAGTATACATTGCTACACTATTTACAGTATCCAATGGACCTACTGCATGCAAAATTTTGCGGAAATTTGGCTAATGTGACTGTACCATTATATTGTGTCAACACCGTGCACGACTGTTGAATTACTTGGAGCTGAAAAAGCTTGAGGCTACATTTTACAATGTGTAATTATTAAAACAAACTATAACAAGCTAAAAGTAACTGTTTCCAAACAGGTTTCTCAACTGGTCTTTGTGTCCCGCCTCCCATCTGTAATTGGTTGAGCAAAAATGTGTCTAAACTGGGCTTAACCACTGTCGTGTTGCATTAGCTTGAGGCTGTCTACATTTTAAAATGACAAAAATTAACAATTGTTTCCAAATGGGTTTCCTAACTGTTCTATTCTGTCCTGCTCCCCATCTGTCACTGGTTTGACAAATATGTTTCTACGAAGGGGCTTGACCTTGTCACATATCGGTCATCGCAACAGCTCGAGGCTGTCTACATTTGAAAGTGTATTGTTTGTAAAACAAACTGTAACAGATGAAAGATTACAATTGTGTCCAAACAGGTTTCCCAACTGGACTGGACAATATGTTCTACCAAAGTTTTGCTAACATTCCCAGTGAGTTATGGAAACGTTATTTCTGAATGTTCTTTGAACATTCGAAACGTCAATTTCTAAAAATGCTTTAAAAATATCGTTTTTCTTGGTGATGCAAACATTCGTTTATGTCCAACTAAAATTTGGTTTCTAAAAAAGTTTCAGAAAAAAACCTGTTCCATGAACAATGTAAAAAAATAAATAAATGAAAAGTTTTCTTTGATTTTTGTCATGTTATGTAGCAACAATTGTGGCCATTGTAGACGCTGTGGATTTTCTATCAAAACAGGAAATTGGAATGGCGCATAACCGTTACGCAGCCCAGCAAAACCATAATTTGCTATGTAAGAGATAATGTACATTTATCCCTTACATAGCATAGAAGTGGAGGGGTCTTGTATCAGCCTGAAGGGGTTTATTCTGAGATAACAGAAGCTTATTACACGGCTAAAAAGATTATAAAGATTGACCATATATGTTCAAATTAATGCTGAAGTCTTCCATTGTAACACGCGGTGGTTAAGTGTTTTCAGTCACAAGATGGCGCCAGACAGTCAACGATAGCGGAGTGACTCGTTAAGCATATAAGTAGTACCGGTCAAGCTAACTCGTAGTACCCGGATGAGCGTTGTGTTATTCAATTTGGCGGTTGTTATCTGGGAATAACATACCGCTGGATGGCGCGATTGACCAATCAGAATCAAGAATTCCACAGAGCCGTGTAATAATTGCTATTAATAGCCAAATTCAGTTTTTGAGAGCATTTTTCATTATTATATTCAGTCCCTTTTTCTTGGAAAAGTGGTATATTTTAATTGTATATATTCTAAAACTTCAATTTTGGTCTTTATTTGGTCTTTATCTTGAGCTTTGAAAGATGTCAGTGCATCTTACGCTGGATTCCTCTGCTCCTGGACTTGTGTCTGCTCTGAGGTTTTTCTCTGCTTTGCCGCAGGGCTGCGGAAGACGAAGAGGGCGATGAACACATCCGTCGAAAAGATGCAAAGTCACATGGGACGGTCGGAACATGTTGATTGTCGAAAACCCTGAAAATGAAAACCAGGCAAGTGATTTGAAAGAAATAAGTACGGCAGGAAGATTTTCTTCTGATTCACAAGGCACGGTTATTATTGGCAGGCCCTGGCCTACTTCCTGTTCCGCGACTGAAGAACATCACAGCTAATTATGCATGCCAGCCGCAGCCTCTGCATGATACATACATTAGCGGCATGGCACTTTACTGATCCCTCTACGTCTCCAGCTTTATCCGCTCTGTCACATCCTCGGCATGCTGCGAACATCTCCGGCAAAACTTGGCAACAAAGAGCTTTTATTCAAAGATTAGCAGGGTCTTTGAAATAGGAGACTTTTCCCATTATGCCCTAAGGCCTAGCGGTTTGTGACCGGAGAGAGATATCAGGAGATGAGAGATTGGGAGAAATCTGCTGCTGGTGTCAAGAGCGTGATGGAGCATGCAATTAGGAAAACGGGCTAGGATAGAGCGAAAGAGACGGGACCAGACAGAAATAAAGGCATAAGCAGGCCCACACTGATTCTGCAGCTAAAGAAAGTGCTGCAGTTTTCTGCAGAACTGAAATGTCCATTGGGAGTCAGATGATTAAATATTATGGTTTTTAAATTAAATTGCTTAAATTCTAAATTTTTGTTAGGTACATAAGGCTTTCCGCAAGGAGTAAGAGCGTGGTTACCATATTTTACCATTTTAAATTTCAAAGTTAAATATGTTGGGTGGGTATATAAAGTGTCCTGATATCATAAGAAAGCCTCATATGAAATTCTTTCAAATAAAATTATTTATTAATTGTTAATTTTTTTTACCATTCAAACGTTTTATTTCATGAAAAACACACACTCACAAACACACACACACACACACACACACACACACACACACATAGTAAAAATTATAAAAACACCACAAAATTACTCAAACATTAACTAAAATTGTTAACTAAGAAAATTATTCAAAATCACTAACATTGTTAGTATTAGTTAACAAAAACTAAACTAAAATTTAAAACCATAGAAAAACTTTTTCATTAATTGAAATAAAATCAATTTAACCTTGCCATTTTAATTTAGTAATTAATTTAAACTGTATGTAATAAGATAAGTAAAACTAAAACTCTAATAAAAACTATACAGACATATGAAGACAATAATGGCAAAAAATCTAAATAATAAAAAAACTATGTTAATTCATACTAAAATTTCACTGATTTTCAAATATTATTCTAATATAAAATAATTACTTTCTGTTTTAATATGTTATTTTAATATTTGAATATATACTAAAATGTAATTTATGCAAAGCTGATACACACATACTGTACATACATATGTGTGTGTGTGTGTGTGTGTGCGCACAAGCTAACCGTTACGCCACGGCTCCAGAACCGCATAGGCCTTCTGCTAAAATGCTAATACATTCTCCTGCTGTCTTTCCTCCCTCTCTCTCTCTCTCTCTCAGTGAAGGAAATGGGATCACATGCCACACGGAGAGGTCTCTTAAAACTAATGAGATTTTGTTCTAAAGTGACAGGCTGATCTCTCAGACAAGCTTCATTATCCAGAGTTCAGTCTCTGTCTGACGGCTCACAGAGAGAGAGGCGAGCGCCACACGCATCTGAATCAAACGCTTCACTGTATGCGCTTCTATCAACGGTCATTCATGTACATCAGGACACATATCAGCTTTCATTTTATTGCGAAGATGGATTTGCTGGCTGTTCAATAAATTGTAGAACAGCAGGGGCCATAAAGACATCATCCGGCGATAGTATCTCTCTTTATGAGGTTTAGCTTTATAAAACAATATTGAATTGGCACAAGCATTCTGATTTATCATTGTAGCTCGCAGAAATAGTTTGCTGTATCATTAGCGCATCTGTTTGTTGTTCACTAAATTCGCTGTGTAGATCATTGCAGGACAGAAGGTGTTAAACAGCACGCTGGGACAAATACATTGAACAGACAGTATTGAACAGTGTGAAGCTGAAACTGCTCACTTGTCCTTTGTGTGTTTGTCATGATTGATTCTTGCCCTGAGGTAATTCAGATTGATTAATTCAGATCGAGTGTGCACACAGGGGGAAAATGGTTTGGCTGAAATGAATCGGGCTCACAGAAGCGGGATGGAGGTTAATGGAGTGGAAGGAACTCTTTTGCTATTTCAGCACGGTTAAAAATCAAAACATGAGCATTTCAGATGTAAGGGAAAATAACGAAAAGCCCCACAACTGAAATATACTGCTGCGTCCACAGACCTGAAATCTGTAAATGCGGTTGGCTTTGGATCACGCTTGAGCGAACCTCACAACATGACTTGAGAGATCATATTAGTATGACAATACAACTGATGGAGAATTGAACAGCACATATACCAGTGACTCAGACATTCCTGCTGAGCTTTTCTAAAGTGCTGACTGGATATGAGTGAAAAACACATTTTGTTTTGAAGCAGATAACGTACAAAATAGTTAAGCAATCTGATATCACTTCCCAACAATGCTCTATATGTTAACAATAATTAATGCACTAACATGAAATAACAATGAACTAAAGTATTTTGTAAGTATTTCATATTTTTGGTTAATGTTCATTTCTATATACATTTGAGCATTTTAAGTATACTTTTACATTAATGAACACATATGAATGAACAATGAACTGTTCATTGTTAGTTCATGTAATAATATTAAATGTGACAACATTTGAATGACTGGTCAGTAGGTTCATTGGTTAACTGACTGAATGACTAACAGGTTGGTTGTCTGGCTGGTTGAATGACTGGTTAGTTAATTGGCTGGATTAATAGACTGATTGATTTGTTTGTTTGGTTGAGTGAAAATTGTAAAATTAAATACAGCACAATACAGTAAATTAAAACAGTAAAATGTGATGGATTGGTTGGCTGGTTTATTAAACAGTCAGTAGGTTAATTGGTAGATTGACTAATATATTGATTGGTTGGCTGGCTGGTTGGTTAGTTGAGAGAACAGTCAGAAGGTTAGGGCTTGTCAAAATACCCACACTTGTGGTCTTTGCACTTGACCACTTGACCACTTATCTCCTGTATTTCCTGTATAAGTGTTCAAGTGAGCATGAAGACCTCAAGTGTGTGTAGAACTTTCCATTACCCAATGGGACACATATAGTGTTATCAAAATGCAAGTGTTTACGAAGCTTCATTTTGATTTCCAATACATTGCTTGTTAAAATGAACTTCTAAATGTCTGTTCAGTAGTCACTATAACAGATCCACAATTTAGCAGCTGTGGTGCTTAAGTGATAAAAAGCAGTTCCAAATGTTGTACAAAATAAACATACTCATCTTTGCACCAATAAAATGTGCAACACTTTTGACCAAATCATATGTAATATATAATTATTAATATTTAACTTAAACCACAAAGTTTCCGCGAGATCTCTGCAAAAAGTCTAAATTTATTTCCAGAACATGATGCAGGGGATATGAGATGGGATACACTTAGGCTCGAGTACTGCTTCGGAGTGGATTTAGTGTGTATTAAGGGCACTGCACTTTAAAGTTTTTAAGACTTGGGTCTTGCACACTTACTTCCTGTTGCATGCACACGCTCTGAAGTGGCAAGACCACAAGTGTGGGTTTTTGGACAAGCCTTGACTGAATAATTGGTTGGTTGATAGAACAATCAGTAGGTTGAATGGTAGACAGACTCATTAATTGATTGGTTGAATGGCTGGTTGCTTGGTTGATAAAACAATCACAATACTACTGGGTTGACTGGTACACTGACTGACTGATAATTGATTGATTGGTAAGTTTGTTGATTATTTGGTAGTTTGTTGGGTTGGATTGGTTGGTTGACTGACTGACTGATAGTTTCACATAGACAGACCTTTAGACTGATGGCAGAAGGCTTGGGAACCATGAGCGCTTAGAATGGGACCACCCAAAAGGCCATATGACTGAGGAACCCAACCATATCTGGGCAACAGAAAATCCTGAAGATGTAAGGGTGGGCTCTTATAACTTGGGCTACACATAACACCCTAACAACTACATAACAGACCGGTGTGCAACCAGTAAATACGGTGACCATACCTCCTCTTTTTCCCCAGACACAACCTGGCAAGGATTTCTGTATTGCTTAATCATTCATTGTTTGACTTGAAGCATGAGACGTGTATGGTATTAAAGTACCGTGAAAGCTATAGAGAGCAGATGGCTCCTTATGCTTTTGAATCGCTCTCGTGGTACGAGAGCCATCTGCTCTCTATAGCTTCCATGTCATACACCAATCAGTCTGCGCATCGCCACTTCTAGTTGAACACACCTAATATGTACACATATTTTAATCGCTTTGACCACTCTCTGTAGATCACGTGTCACGATTGGTTGATTATGTAAAATGCCTGCATGTTATTGGTCAAACTGCTTTCCAGTCATTACCTTCAGGAAGTAAGAAAACAGGAAAACAAAGCAAAAACCTGGATGTTGTAGGCAATATAGAAATCTTGGCCTCGATGTGTCCAGGAAAAAGAGGATGTATGGTCACCCTACCGGTAAATGATTAATTCACAAACGTCTCATGAGTTTACAACAACAATGGCGGATCAGTAAACATCTGTTTGGAACATATATCTCAACAACTAACTCCAACAAGCAGTTCTGGAGAACTAAACACAAGACTAAATCATTCAACTGCCATATCAGCGTCTGTTCTATCATTTTTGCCCACACATGTAGCTGATATACCCTTCTCAATGAGGTATTTCTTTTGAGCTTCCATAATAGATATTAGGTTGCAAACAAATAGCAAAACTGGATCTTTAGGAATACCTTCCAAATTCTGACAAATGGTTAGCCAGGCTTAGAGAATACGACTCTTGCCATATCCAGTCGTTGACAAGTTAAAGGGGGTCATATGATGCGATTTCAAGTTTTCCTTTCTCTTTGGAGCGTTACAAGCTGTTCGTGAATAGATAAGATCCCTAAAGTTGCAAAGACTAAAGTCTCAAACCCAAAGAGATATTCTTGATAAAAGTTAAGACTGGTCCACGATCTCCTAAAACGCCTCGTTCTAACATGCCCCCACATGTCTACGTCACGATGTGGGAAGATTTGCATAACACCGGCCAAATGTTCACGCAATTCCTCTTTTAGATTCCACCGTGCCTCAAGCAAAACTCTTGGATGTATTTTAAAGAGTACGGTGTGAACCTCGCATACTTTTAAGAATCCAGTGTTTAGTTGATCTTGATAAATGCTCATCGTCACCGATGTAAATACGACAGCTTTCTTCTTCAATCAGACAACTTTGTTTCCAGGCAGACCATTAAAAAACATGATGCACGTCTCCCAGAAATCCTGTAGAATTCAACCAATCAGAGGATGACTTCGAATCTGCTGAAGTGTTTCCTGTATGCATCAGATGTTCAGCCAATGGTCCAATGGGCATGACGTCTGAGGCTGTGAGGACGGATTGGTTGGTTGGTTGGTTGACGGACTGACTAGTTAGTAGATTGATTCTATTGTTGGTTAGTCTATGATTGATTAATTGAATGACTGATTTATAAGTTGCTGATCGAACTGACTGATGGACTGATTGATTGATAGGAAGGTTGGTATGTAGTTGGCTGGTTGGTTGACTGATTTATATTTTTGTTGTTGGGTGGATTGCACCTTTACATGTTTTTATTGCTACAATAACCATATCCACATATGAAGAGTATACAGCATTCCCGTTCTGTTTCTCTAGCAGAAAGTGGCAAAAATTTCATTTGTCTCCAACTTAATTGGTCTCCATGGTATATACATATACCATTAACTGAAAAAAAGACATATAATAGCTTAAAATATGTAAACAGAACAAAACATCACAAGTTAATGAATTAGTGAGCAAACATTCATTGTGTTGTTGCGTGATCACCTGTGTGTTTCTGCTTTGCTCTGAGGTTGAATGTGCTGTTCAAATAGTATATTGGTCCTGTTCCACTGTTTTATGGCCCTTACAGTTTTCCATGTATTCAACACAGTCCAGAGAGATTCTCTGATCCACAGATAGTGAGCTGTAAATTACTTTGCCTCGGAGGACTACGGTGATTGAGGGAGATATACATTAGACTGCAATGGGATCAGACTGGGTCAGATTGCTGCTCTAAGCTGCAGGATAAAAGAGTCTTACGACAGTGACATCCAGCTCTTAAAATAACCTGCTCTCAGCTGCAGATCTGAGCCTCAAATGCTTCTCAGTCCTAGTGTCTGAACCTCTTTAACAGTGCTATCACTCAAACTGTTGCTCATTTATTAGGGTGAGGGATTTGAACCAAACCCTAAACCTAAATAAACTTCATTGGCATTTATTCATTTATTCCTTTTCAATGTGGTCAGACAGATTTACCATAAATACCATAAAATGCCATTGACTGAGGAACCCAACCATATCTGGACAACAGAAAATCCTGAAGACGTAAGGGTGGGCTCTTATAACTTGGGCTACACATAACACCCTAACAACTACATAGCAGCGCCCTAGCAACCAACTACAACACTCATGCTAAAAACACTCAACATGTCTTAGCAACCACTTAGCATCAACATGACAACCACCCAAAAATTAGGGCAGCAGCTTTTGCACCACTCACATTTTATAAGAATATGTAAAAATCTAATGTAAGTTGGTGCCAACAGCCTTGTGGGCAGCGCGCCGACATACAGCACTGTTGCACTACAGGCGTTCCGAGTTCGAATCCCAATTTTATTTATTAATTTTTTTATGTAATAAAATACAAATGAGGTAATTGCAACTTTTTATCTCACAGTGCTGACATTTTTCTCAGAAGCATGTGTATGAGGTCAAACCATGTGAATAAAAAAAAAAAATCTGAAATGCTCAATGTAAACTCACAATAGCAATATTTAAACTCCCAATTCTGAGGTAAAAAAACATAGTAAACTTTAAACTCATAATTGTGAGAAATAAACTCGCAATTCTAAAATGTCTGAATTTTGGTATATAATCTTAAAATTACAAGACAAATATTGAGAATTGTGAGATAAAAAGTCAATTACCTTCTTGAAATTTTTATTCTGTGGTGTAAATAAACTTTCATTGTATGGCAAGACACATTTTTATTTATGAAAATATTAATATTTCTGTCATGACAACTCTCTGAGAGTTTAGCATGGTAATATACAGAAATAATACTGCTGCTGCCCATATAACATATGTGAAATAACATGCATGAGATTACCCTGCAGCAGATCTATACAGGTGGAGCTGGGGAAGGTGAAGGATTTCTGAAGTTCACTGCAACTGCTACAGCAAGCACAAGCCAAGTATTTGATGTTGAGCAGCGAGCTCATTGGCTGTTGATGTGAAAAGAAACCAATCAGCTGCGCCATGTGAATAATGATGTGATATTATCAGACTGAGTAGCAACCTATCAGCCTGCGCCATCTGGAGTTTCATAACAGAACTTTGTATTTATTCATATATATGCACCTATTTAAATTTTCCAACTAATGTTACAATAGTATGTTAAAATAGTAGAAAAATGTTACAATGTTTAAAATAACAGATAACAGATAAGGGGTTATTATGTAAAACATTGTCATACACATTTTTCACTCACTGCCAGAGTGACAGAATTCAATAGAACAGAACTGGATACAAGTTTTACTTTTTACTTAGATTTTACTTTAATGGTAAGTCAATACTAAAAGATAGATGATTTAATAATATATAATATAATAAAATCTAACATATTTGTTAAAATATGTAAACTGAACATATTTGAAGTATTTGCAGTAGCTATTTTTATTGTCTGCATCCATATTCATTTAGTTGCATCTGTTCACTCACTGACAAATATGAATTGTATTTTTGAAGAGCTCGTTTTCAGTGAGCAGTTCTGCAGAGCAAAAATGTTCATCCCTGACACAGTACACATTTTAAAATGAGCGCAGAGAAAAAAAACGTCCCATTTTTATTAAAAGTAATCCCTCATGAATCATTTTTGCTCTCTTATATGCTTCCAAAGTGAAGAAACGGGTTTGTTAGCCAGAGGCAACAAAGTGCACACTAGAGGGTTACATTTAGACTTTTGTTATGGCAGACACACACATCTCCAAGCAAAAAAATGGCCACTAGAGAAACCCCCGTGGGCCACACTAATGCATGCTGCCAAACATATTTTCAGAGGTTTTCTCTCTACGATGGGATGCTTGGCCCTACGGGAGGGTGTTTAAAATGCAGATAGAATCCAGGGGTCGTGTGGAATCTCAGCGCACACTAATGCAGTAACAACAGCATCTGACCGCAGGCCATAACCAATGAGACGTCAGATCTTCTGATGAGATTGAAATAGAGAACAAAGTTCCTGGTGTGTGAAAACACTTAACAAGAGGCAAATAAGCAGCTGCGTGAGTCATATGGAGCCCAGAGCCAAGAGCCAAGAGAGAAGACGCCAGTCAAAGCCACCCTGTAACATTATGCAAATAAGTGGAGTAAATTCCTGTCGCGCTCGTGTGTGTGTGTGTGTGTGAGAGAGAGTGTGTGTTTAAGTGCTGGTAGGATGCTTAGGAAGGTAAATGAGATTAAATGGACTGTGAAACTGCATTATAGACCTTGTACTTCTTAGAGTGCATTGCGGGTAGATAAAGGACGTTCAATTCGGTCTGTAATACAGTATATAAACAGTGTTTATCATAGATGTTTGTATACGCGAATGCTGCTACAGTCACCAGCAGATTGCTATACAGTGTTGCTATGCAGTTGCTAATATGTTCGGGCCCAAGTCTCTATGGCCGCATTTACATTACATGGTTCAAGTGACCCAAATCCGATTTTTGATATGATAACATATGCAGGAAAAAAGCACATGGAATCACATATTCTCAAATCAGGTTCTCAGATCAGTATTCCTCTGACAGAGAGGAAAACCACAGAAAAAAGCACAACCGTGCTGGTTTTGTTTAGGTAAAACCTAAAATGTTGCCACCGTATTTTTTACGGTAAAATTCTGGCAACCACTGCTGCCGTTTTTTTACCGTAAATTTTATGGATTTTTTTTTTTTTTACAGTGTACTTTTCTAAACAAATTCAATTCTGGTTAAAAGTTACTGGCATAATTGTAAATGTAAATAGTATTTTTGATTAAATAAATGTCTAAACTAATTAAAGTCTACAAAGCTTAGTTTTTATACTTTTTTTGTCAGACATTCTCTTCCTGTCTAAGCGGGCAGTTCTTAATAGGGTGCAACAGGTAGGTTTCGGAAGTAAAATCACATTGATTTCCTCTATAGGGGAAGTGATTTCTAAAGGGTCATGAACACAGTGTACTTTTCTAAACAAATTCAATTCTGGTTAAAAGTTACTGGCATAATTGTAAATGTAAATAGTATTTTTGATTAAATAAATGTCTAAACTAAGTAAAGTAAAGTCTACAAAGCTTAGTTTTTATACTTTTTTTGTCAGACATTCTCTTCCTGTCTAAGCGGCCAGTTCTTAATAGGGTGCAACAGGTAGGTTTCGGAAGTAAAATCACATTGATTTCCTCTATAGGGGAAGTGATTTCTAAAGGGTCATGAACTGAGAAACCCAAATTCCCTTGATCTTTTGATATACAAGAGGTCATTGTACTAAAAAAACATCCTGTAAGTTTCAGAACTCAAAAGTTTTGTTAGTCTAAAAACAGCTTATATTGAAGGCAGCCTGCCAAAACAACAGCTTGTGGAATGTGCCACTCTATGACGTAATAGTGTGGATAAACATCAGTGCCTGCTTTGACATCACTGCCTGTTTAGCCCCGCCCACCGATTCCTGCATGTCGTGTAAATAACCTAAAACAAACGTAGGTCAATGCAGAAACGAAACGAAAAAGACAACAAGACGCTGTTCAGTGCCAAGCAGTGGAAAAATAGTCTTTGCACTGCCTTGCATCTGATCCCAATATTAGGAAAGAGTTGATGAACTTTATTTTGAATGAAGATCCAGACCGTGTCAGTAAGAAGCTTCATTTTATCGCGGATTCGTTTACAAACAAGGCAAAATTCAACGCTGGATTTTCAGAAAGTGTGAAACTTAAAGATGATGCAGTGCCGACTATATTGGATCCGACAGTAATGCTGCAACACAAGTGTGAGTAACTGTTTTCATTATGTGATCACTATTGCTTTGCATGTTAAACCAACACGGTTAAACAGATCATTTGATGTAAATATTTATGCGTTTTTAACCTAAATCACAATCTACAATCCGCCACGCCTATTCAAACAGAGTGTTCTGATGAGGGGGGTTAAAAACAGGACAGAAAATAGCTTATTACTTCTAAATTATGTTTTTGATGCAAAAATCTTGATAACTACATTAATACATTTATTGATGTAATCATTAGTCATTAAACTGTGAAAAACTACATTACCCATGATTCTGCAAAAAATAAAATAAAAATCGCAATTGCGACAATTGCACCAAAATAACACTTCAGCACCAACCCAATCGCATGAAGCAATGTGAATGATGTTACATAGTCATATGCTCCCAAACTACTTAAATATTTGTGTACATTTGCACATTTTACAATTGACGTAGAATATACTGTTTCTCGACATCAACATATTTAAACCGATAGTTTTATATTTCTCCATCATTTTTTAATTCGATGATGTCAATGCTTCATTGTAGTTCTTTCCGTGATTAAAGTCGTTAGGTTTTTATAGGAAAAAAACGCTGTGGACCAGACTTCATGCCGATAGTCAAAAGTTTGCAGTCACAGTTTCGAAAATATACCTCTGTAATGTAAATTGCACTGGAAATGTCCTCTAGCTCATAACTCAGAACAGAGCCTAATATTAAAAACACCCGAAAAATTGATGTTGGCAGGGGCTGAAAAAAGATGGATAGACTAGAGAAAGACAAAGATGAGAGAATCAGAGTGAGAAAAGCACAGTGTCAAAAATATGAGTGGAAGAGCACTGGAGACGCACGCCCTCAGGAAGCAGATGTTTCATATTTCTTCATGACATGAGCTGTGAAATATGCCTGTGAGAAATGAGTGTGTGTGGATGTACCTGTAAGGCTCATTTCGAGGTCGCTTCATACCGGATCTCTGTTTGGAGGGTCGCAAAACTCCCGTCATGCTTTCGTCTAAACAAGAGAGACAGCACAAGTGCGCGCTGAAAGGAAAACAACAATGAACTGAATAATACAACAACACTCCTTCTGTCACACTGACACACGCTGCCTCGCTCTTTAATAAAAAATGACTGTATCCTCTATCAAGAAACAGAATAAATGAAAACGTTATGGTATCAGGGTGTTAGAACGGAGAAAATAAAACTAAAAATAAGTTTAGTTACAATAGGAATTGTCAAAATATATTTAAAGAAAGACAGGCTCAGTATAATAGGATTTACAGAAATTACATTATTAGCCAACATATGTTGCTTGGTTAGGGTTAATCATCTGTGTTTTGAGATTAATATCTCTGTCACATGGTGAACACAATTCAGTGCACTTTCACCACGAATGCATCATTGTCCTAGTGATATAGGCCATTTAACAAGTAATGACTACAATAAAACAACTGGAGTGCATGTGCGCGAGTGTCTGTCTACAAAGCCTATACACTTTTGAGTTTGTGTACTATTATTTGTCTTCTCACATTAAATAACACATTAGTAGTAACAGTGCCTAAATCATGAAAACTTGAAAAAGCCTAATATTACTCTCTCTGTATGTTATTACAGTGTAAATTGTGAAAATGTGCAACTGATAAGGTGCTATTTCCAGTGTTGTGGAAAGTTACTTTTAAAAGTAATGCGTTACAATATTGCGTTACTCCATAAAAAAAGTAACTAATTACGGTACTTAGTTACTTTTTATGGAAAGTAATGCTTTACGTTACTTTTGCGCTACTTTTTAAATCTGGACAGGGCTTGCTTGTTTGTTTTTAAAATAAAAAAGTTATATTTCTGGCAAATATAAAAGCCTTTTCACACCAAAAGTGAAATGAATCAGCCTCAGGCTGAAGGGAAAGTAAATTTACGTCCGTACAGTAGAATGCAGAAGAAGACATTTCAACACACTTCAGCAATAAACAAAGACACAAATGTTTGTCTGGAGTAATTTGTGCTTATTAGTACGGTTGAACTGGATCATCGAAGGTCAGAAACAAAGACATTGCTTAATAGAATGGGATTAAATACATAAAGCATATTTGTGTTGTTTAACATTTAATTATTGCAGGTTTGCGTCATATTCTGAGTTGCATTATTTTTATTCATTTTGAGGAATACTGAATCTTTTGTGAGTGAGATGAATTAATGCATATTCATATTTATTTTAGAACTACAGTAACATCTGATTTCTCTCAGCATGGGGACAGCAGAGCTGCCAATCAATACATTGGAAAAAAAGTAACTTGCGTTACTAATTTGAAAAAGTAATGTAATGTAAATTAAAAAGTAATGCGTTACTTTACTAGTTACTTGAAAAAAGTAATCGGATTACGTAACTTGCGTTACTTGTAATATATTACCCCCAACACTGGCTATTTCTAGCTGATCTTTTAAAAAATTAAAAAATAAAAACACTGTTGATTTAGCATTGTTGTTAAAAACTGTTTTTGTTAACTGAAATGAAGCTGAATTAAAATGTAAATATTACATGACAAATTTAAACTTTAAAAATGTAAATAAAATAACTGAAACTAGAAATAAAGTTAGAAAATGTATTGGTAATTTTCTGCCAGGACACTATCTGTTAAGATACGTTTCCTTTAACGCGACAACACAACACAATGTGTGCTTCGTAATACAGGTATAACACCTGCGAACAATCAATATGGAAAATGCCTTTATATTAAAATTGGGCCATGTTTTTACAGACCTGTTTAAAAATTAAATATGGACCAAAAATACATTTAAGCTAAACAAAAATAGATTTAAAAAAAGACAAAAGCACATAACTAAAGCTTAAAAATGAATACAACTCTATTGAAATAATACAAAAATATCCATATCTTATCTTAAAAAGAAAACAGTAAACAGTAATTACAACTACAATGAAAACAGTAAACAGTAATTACAACTACAATGAATACAGTAAACAGGAATTAAAATCATCTTATCTGGATCCAGCTGTTATTGCTTAATCAGTAAAAATGAATGTCTGTACACAACAAATCAAGATACATTTAACAGAAATTAGTTTCATTCTCATGATAATTTCACAATGCAAAGAAGACTTCATATTCTTTATACAAATGATAATTTCTTTCTTTTTTTGTGTGAAATACGACCTTTATGTTTTTGAACGCAGTAATCAAATATGCAAACCATGAAGAAAACAATTTAAAAAATACCAACTCCAATCTGACAGCAGTTCAGCTTCCTGTAAAATGCAGATGAGAATAGAGTGAGAGAAAGAGGAAAAAACTCACACTTACACTGACGACTGCGACGCTGACTTCTCAACGGGGTCATTACAGTCTTACATTCTGAACATCCCGCTCATCTGCTGTAGATTCCCTCGAAATGCACTCTTTATTTAACCTCACACACACACAGAGAGAGAGAGAGAGAGAGAGAGAGAGAGCTCATACACTGGAGTTAATGGCTTTTCTACACTGGGGCTCGTACCATTTGCCAGCACATCAAATCCAAAGGGGGTTTAAATGTGCTTCTGGACTGATCCATTCCCTGTAGAAGAGAATGGGAGAAATCCAGACGGGAAAAATGAAAGTTGTAAAGCAAAATTCATCTGAGACCCCATCCATCACTGTCTCGCTTCAGCATTCAAGCAGCCTCTGTTCTTTCATTAGCGTTCGCCACAGCTCCTCCAGGCGCCCTTATTAAGAAAATCAACGAAACGATAACTTAATATCAAACTGTCCGGTTCCGTTTTAACATGATACAGCTGACTGGTTCTTTTCTCGTTATTCGGGGAGCTTTAAATGCATCCCCCCTGAGCTCCCCCTCGCGACTGCGTTAATGTGAGAGGATGACAGATGAAGAACTAACTTTAGCTTTGCGCTCCAGCCAGTCAAGACACCGAGTGAAATCACGCTTGTAAAGCGCTGATGAGGTAAAACTGTGGTGGGTTTGGGATTTGAAAAGCCGTCGTCTGTGACAGCTGTGATTTCTGAGAAATGCGGCTGCGTGGGGAACACGTTTGAGGGGATGATTAATGAACGCCTGGTTTCTGTGAAAAGATATATATTTTGAATGCTTTGGTAGCTATAATTGAATCCATAACTGCAACTATTCAATAAATGAAGCAAAAAATATAAAATAATCATTTGTGCAGTCCACATTTGTTTTATGCAGTAGCTTAGTGTTTACAAACACTTGTCCTCAGATAAATACAGCTTGGGAACAGCTTCGTGAATGTATACAGGTGCATCTCAATAAATTAGAATGTCGTGGAAAAGTTCATTTATTTCAGTAATTCAACTCAAATTGTGAAACTCGTGTATTAAATAAATTCAATGCACACAGACTGAAGTAGTTTAAGTCTTTGGTTCTTTTAATTGTGATGATTTTGGCTCACATTTAACAAAAACCCACCAATTCACTATCTCAACAAATGAGAATATGGTGACATGCCAATCAGCTAATCAACTCAAAACACCTGCAAAGGTTTCCTGAGCCTTCAAAATGGCCTCTCAGTTTGGTTCACTAGGCTACACAATCATGGGGAAGACTGCTGATCAGACAGTTGTCCAGAAGACAAGTCTTAAAAAAATTGTATGCCTTAATTAATAAAACATGAGAAAAACAATCTTCAAAAAGCCTTTGACATTGTCAAATTTAATTCAGTGTAAAAATGTATACCTCATTTGTGAAACATGAGAAAAAATAATTTCTGTGTAAATCATTCAAAAAAACGTTTGCATAAATTGTCAAATAGTAGTTCAGTGTAACAATTTACACATTATTCGTGAAACAAAAGATGAAGGAATTTCTGTGTAATTTATTCATATTAAAATCTATGGAAGAATTATTTATAAAAGACAAACTGAGCAGTTTTGATCAGTGCAACTATTTCTTTCTCTTTTAAGAAACACAAATGTGTAGATTCTTACATGCTGGTTTTCATGAATGAGGCCCAGTATTGTGTACTGTTGTGTTTTTCTGTTTTTGACATCAGTATGACAACACTGGATGGTCTGTACTTTTCCTCAGGACCTCGCTGTCATTTTTGTGTCATATTAAATATGGTGTCTACTCTGACTAAAGTCTAAAAGGTCAAAGGTCATTGTATAAGCTTGTACTGTTTCCTGTCCTCTCAGTTGTGGATACCACTGTAAACAATGATGCATCCACCTCTGTATCAGCATCCTCTTCCTCACCGTCTCATCCTCCTGCCTCCGTCTGTGCCTCCACCCATGTGAGAGCGTCCCGCTGCATTGAGTTTCTGGACTCCACCCACTGCACCTGTGTGCAGGGCTACAGCATCTCCAGCCACAACAGCACACTGTGCACAGGTGACACACACACACACACACACACACACACACACACTTCCAGAGGCAGACAGCAACTAAGTACACTTTTCGAGTATCTGTACTTTACTTAAGCATTATTATTTTTTGGAAACTTTAACCTCACTACATTTGAAAGACAAATATTGTACTTTTCACTACATTTCTATCAAGGTCCTCGAAGTTGAAAGTCATTACTAAGTCAGTGGGTGATTTTTTTTTTCTTCTCTAAAACGTGACTTTCTTTTCTTCAGACAGTTTATCACTCTTGTAGGGCTTGATGAAGTGATTTCCCAGCATTTTCTGAACGCTGACCAGTTGCAAATGTGATATTTATTTACAACAATTCAATAATACGAAGTTAATAGTGTGGTATATATTAGACACAATATTGTCTGATTATGCTAAATTGTGTAAGTGAAAATATTACCTATAAAGCCACAGAAGAACTTTTGTGCGTCTCCTAATAAAACACAATAGGTGTTGGACTTGAAGCAGCACTGCACAGACGGTTCTGTGTGTGACATTAAAGTACAGCGAGCGCGATTAGACAGCATTTTTAAAATCTTTGTTTTGATGTCAAATAAGTCTTGCTGTTTTGCTTTTTTGTTAAAGCAGTGTTGCTGTTGTAAAGTTATACAGCTACACCTGTGTTCGTTATCGCTCTGTATTTACAGGATTTCACTGTCCACTCGGTTCAAATGTGATTGAATGGCTACACACAGATGTGTCCAGAGCAGTGTGAGATCACTACCATCCTGCTTTTGTGAGGGTGGGTAGGGGTGTTAAATATATATATATACACTATATATATATATTTCCCTATAGGTTTAGCACTTTATTCCAAAGATACTACAAGCTAGTCAGTGTATTCAGTAGGTGTAATGTATTGTAAGTTGCTTCAGAAGTATTGAAAGTATTACATTACATACAACAATAATAAAACAGTAAATTGGCATAAAAAAGGAATTTTACTTTTGGTACTTAAGTACTTTTTAAAAGCAAGTCTTTACAACTTTCACTTGTAATGGAGCAATATTTGACCAGCAGTATCTGTACTTTCACTCAAGTAATGGAGTTGTGCACTTACTCCGCCTCTGCACACTTCATTTCACACTCCTTTCTTAGTTACACAGAACCACGAAATTACATTTGACATGCTAATAATGTTTATTATTTATTTTTGTCAAAAACAACAACAGCAAAATACTGCATTTAAGTTTTTACTTTAATTTCCAGTGTTGAAAACAATTGTCAACATTTTTTATGGTGTTATGTCAACATAAAAATGCAAAAATGTTAAAGGTAACTGTTAAATACTACTTAACACTACTAAAATGGTTTTTTATTAATATTAAAATTAATATTAATTAATATTAATGTCAACATATCACAAATGTAAACATATTTAAAAAGTTACTTTATTACATATTAATATACGTAAAATATTTGGGATTTTTCTTACCTCAAAATTACATATATACACACACCAGTGATGCTGCAATGTCAATCTAATTATAGTTTTTCATTTTAATAAATGTAATAGGCATGGTTATTATCTGATAAGCATTTCAGATTTCCATGCTATTATTTTTGGTTTTATAATGCCTGACTAAATCATGAAAAGTCACTCTAGTAATTCATCAGTGGTGTTACTGGATCTCATTACCTTTTAATTAGGTGTAACACCAATGACAAAAGAGAATGTCAGCCAATGGTCAATTACATTTATTTTTTAAATGCTAAATTATTCAGTGTGATCATGTATGAAATGAGACTGAACAGAAATTAATGAATATAGCATGGTAGGTTTGATGTATGATTAATGAGTTTCATTTTTTAACAGATTTCAGATGCAAATGCCACTGTAGTTGTAGAACGACCCAAATGTGATTGAGCATTGTGTGTGTGTGTGTGTGTGTGTGTGTGTTTCAGACACTGATGAATGCGAGCTCTTCCGTCTAACTCGTCCTGGCCGTCTGTGTTTGCACACCTGTGTGAATACGGCTGGAAGTTTCCACTGCGAGTGTCCCGCCGGTTACAGCCTGGGCCGTGATAGCAGGAGCTGCCATGGTCCGTCCATTATGACCTGCTGGTTTGTCATAGTTCTGTAGAATCATCTCAAACAAACAAGAGACGGTCTGTTTTAAATCTAGTGAGCTGCCTTCCTGTCTGCTTCCATAGGCACCTGCCTTCTATGGCAACATCCTAATTACAACCTTCCTCGTTACTGATTGGATAATGTGGTAACATTTCTAAAATAATTGCAAAATAATCTAAAAAGAATAAAACTACTCAAGTTGTAAAATACTCAAATACTGGGTTAAAAAGTCCGTTTTAATGATACAGTGTTGAACTATTATTGATACTTTTTTATTAAAATAAATGTTATATATTTTTCTTTATGTAAATTTATAAAGTTTGCTATCTTGGATAGAATTTGTTTTTTCACCGAGCTCCTTGTAAGACATTCTGGGAACACAATGATGCCTTAGATTTTGCCCAAAAGTGGGTGCCTATGATGCTTTAAAATGCTGCTTTGGTAGGTGGTTCACTAGGTTTTAGAACAATGCTTGCTAGACTCTCCAAGATACAAACCAAAATAACTTAAAGTCTGGGCAAATTAAAGTCGATATGTACAACTGCAAAATAATCTAAAAAGAATAAAACTACTCAAGTTGTAAAATACTCAAATACTGGGTTAAAAAGTCCGTTTTTAATGATACGGTGTTGAACTATTATTGATACTTTTTTATTAAAATAAATGTTATATATTTTTCTTTATGTAAATTTATAAAGTTTGCTATCTTGGATAGAATTTGTTTTTTCACCGAGCTCCTTGTAAGACATTCTGGGAACACAATGATGCCTTAGATTTTGCCCAAAAGTGGGTGCCTATGATGCTTTAAAATGCTGCTTTGGTAGGTGGTTCACTAGGTTTTAGAACAATGCTTGCTAGACTCTCCAAGATACAAACCAAAATAACTTAAAGTCTGGGCAAATTAAAGTCGATATGTACAAGGCCTTGACACATGCACCAAGCCGACAGGTTGTCACTGAACATCTGTCAGCTCAGTTTTTTTGTGGTGTGTTCTGCACTGTCTTCGTTAGTCAGACCCCATTGGAGGCTTCTTGGACGATTGAGCATGTTGAATCGGTGTTGGGAAATCAGTGAGACACATTCTGATTGGCTGTTCGGCTTGGTGAACAAGTGCACGAAAATAAAAACGAAAGTGAATGCAAGTCATCTTACCTGGGCTGCGTTTCCCAATAGCATCGTAAGCCTAAGTTGATTGTAGAACTATTGTCGCTAATGGAGCTACTATCAACTTAGGCTTACAATTAGTGCTGTCAAACGATTAATCGCATCCAAAATAAAAGTTTTTGTTTACATTATATGTGTACTGTGTATATTTATTATGAATATATAAATACACACACATACAGTATATATTTTGAAAATATTTACGTTTATACGTAAGGGATAATCAACGATAATTTGCGGCGGCCACTTCGCGTCATGCATTTAAAATCTTTTAATGCACGGCTAGCTGTTGATTGTCCCTTACGTATTTAAATATATAAACATAACATATTTTTCTTAAATATATACATGCATGTGTTTGTATTTATATATACATAATAAGTATACACACATATATTACGTAAACGAAAACTGTTATTTTGGATGCGATTAATCGCGATTAATCATTTGACAGCACTACTTACGATGCTTTTGGGAAATGTAGCCCTGATCATTCCAATACACACATTTTCATAACGACATGGCCATCTGGAATGAAGCAAGCAATCAATAGCTGCGTCCCAAATGACGCACTCATACACTATGTACTTATGCACTATGTACTCAACCATGTAGTGCATTAATTATATAAGGTTATTTTGTCATTCATAATCGGAGTCTGATAGCCCCTCCCCCTTCGCAACGTAATTACAGCTGCGACAATTGGTATACACACATATATTACGTAAACGAAAACTGTTATTTTGGATGCGATTAATCGCGATTAATCATTTGACAGCACTACTTACGATGCTTTTGGGAAATGTAGCCCTGATCATTCCAATACACACATTTTCATAACGACATGGCCATCTGGAATGAAGCAAGCAATCAATAGCTGCGTCCCAAATGACGCACTCATACACTATGTACTTATGCACTATGTACTCAACCATGTAGTGCATTAATTATATAAGGTTATTTTGTCATTCATAATCGGAGTCTGATAGCCCCTCCCCCTTCGCAACGTAATTACAGCTGCGACAATTGAGTGCATGAAGTGTCCAACATTCCACACTTTTTTCGGTTATTTAAGTGCAACATCCGGGTATTTAAAGTGCACTTTTTCTTTTTGGAATTTTCGGTGTGAATGTACTACTCGCACTATTTATACTGAAAAACGTCATAGAATAGTGCATAAGTACACGATTTGGAACACCTGATGTGATTCATATACAGAATGGTAAGCTAGCTCTGCTTTGTTTAGGATTTTTTTCGGTTAAGTGCAACATCCGGGTATTTAAAGTGCACTTTTTCTTTTTGGAATTTTCGGTGTGAATGTACTACTCACACTATTTATACTGAAAAACGTCATAGAATAGTGCATAAGTACACGATTTGGAACACCTGATGTGATTCATATACAGAATGGTAAGCTAGCTCTGCTTTGTTTAGGATTTTTAGATCAATACAGACAGTACAGACTACTGCCACCTGCTGGTCTGGATAATTTCCTCTCACACAGAACGTGCATGCTAGTTGGCCAATAATTGGAATCTTTATGGTGTGTTCAAACTCAACCTTTTGGCCCAGACGCATGGACGTGGGTGACAACATAGTCGGATTTCATTATCACTAGTTCTTTGATGTTGTTTTGGTGTGTCACAGCCGTAAAAGAAATGAACCTAAATAACATTTGATTTTCAAAAACACACCAAATTAATGTTCTTAACATGTGCTTTCTGTAGACATTGACGAGTGTGCGAGAGCGACCCATAACTGCAGTAGTGAGCAGGTGTGCATGAATACATACGGAGGTCATCGCTGTGTGGATGTGGACTGCCCTCGCATCCGTAACGCCACGTACATCAAAACCTCACCGCTGTAAGTCACGCCATTGCACCACATCTGCTCTTAATCATTTGCATTAATGTGTATCTCAGAAAATGCTACCTTCAAGTGCAGCAGGTAAGCTCCTAAATCATGGGTAAATCAGAAAACCAATTTTTGGAAGTTTTTTTTTCTATCAGTTGATTTGAAGGCTACCAAAAAGACAGAAACAATCTACATGTGAAGATAAACTCTTTTAGCTGTGCTAGCGCAACACTGGTGTAGCTAAAAGGGTTTGCATTTATAAACATGTTTATAACTCAACACAGGTATGTTGTATTATTAGCATTGGTCACTATTGTAGGGGTCGCTATCGTGAACAATAGCATAAAAATACTGAGGTGTTAATGCAATAGTAGTTCCAAAACATGCTAAAGCCCAAAATATACTTAAGTTGACGCAAAAGCTTAGCATATGAATACAGCCGAATACACAGCCACTTTTTTTCTACGTAAATGTGTTAGACGGACATCTTTGACCATTGCACATGCATCTTTTTCAGTGTATCATGCATGATACGCGGTTCTGAAAATGAGACGTTTAAGTTAAAAGCTCAACTTAAAAAAAACATCTCCAGACCTGGCTATTTTTTGCTCATTCCACTGCCCGTGATTCACATTTTTCGAAGCAAAAACACATTTTGGGTGAATGGCCCCATACTCCATTTGATGTGTGCGCAAACACCAACGCTTGTCATATGCATGCTAGAAAGTTTTTATCCTTGTTCAGTGTCTGCGCAATTTCTTTTCAGAAGTTATCACCGATAAAATGTCTTTGTACGCTTTTAAACTATAGTTGCGTTTATCTCTTGGGGGCCATTTACGCAGTGGAATGGGGAAAAAAAACCTAAGGTCTAGAGACACGTTTTTTTAAACGTTTAACTTAATTTATCTTGAGCTCTGCGTTTAATGACGTGCAACACAAGCGCAAGTCAAACATGTCCATTTAGCAGATGTTTACATAGAACAACAATGGAAAACTAGTGCACTGAAATAGTAGATTGTCAATAGTTCAGTCTAGGGCTGTCATGATTCATCGATTTTATTCGACTATTCGATTTTGTTTTAAAATCCTCGACTTCATTTTGCTCGCGTCGACTAACCGGCAGAATGCCGGAAGTGGCACATTTCACGGACGAGAATTCATAAAACACATTATTAGACTGTTTCCCATGGCTGCATGATATATTAAACCCATTGAAAAATCATAATTAAGCATAATTGTGAATTTACAAACGCTACAATTTAATTAAATAATTATATGCGATGCAGTTCTAATACAGTATATGCGCTTTAATTATTTACATGCGTGTAGGTTAAGTACATGCGTCACACAGCGGCTCCGTTCACAGTAGTTCCACAGGAACGGTTATCATTTACATGTGTGGAGCGACTCAAACTCCATCTCTGCATGTTGTTGTGAGTTTGTGTGAGTGAGTGATTGAGTGTGTGTGTGTGCGCCATTTCATCAGATTTGTAAGGTAAATCATTTATAAATCTACGCAAACTCAGGAGAATACATCGCGGTTTCAAAATAAAAGCTCAAACCCTCACTTGTTTACACGTTTTGATGTCCACATATTACCACAAAAAAATTATTATAGGGCCCTATGAAATCCGTTTTATTTCCAAATTCAGTTTTTTTTCCATTTTAATTTTTCTATACTCCGTTTTTAATGGTTCCATTAACTTTGAATAATTAAAAGCATCTCCAATTAATTTATTTTATTTGAAAAAGTAGTAGTTTTTTTTCTCCAGAAATACTGCACATTTACATTTTTCTCCTAAATAAATTCAAGTAAATAACATTTCTGGTAAATACTCCTTTAAAAAGTGTTTTTTGATTATAATTTTAATATTAGTAGACTAGAACATGTGGACATGTTGTCATTCTTACACTATAATACTGAACTTTGATTTAAGTGATTTGGACTAAGAGATGGACACTTGCTTCTTGCGCTCTATGTTGCACTTTACTTTTGCTTTAAAAAAAGGATTTCATAGAAAAGGTTTAATAAAATATTCTTAAATAAAATTGTTGATTTTTTTTGTGGGAAATTAATCGTTTAGATTAATCGATAAATTAGTCGATAGATTAATCGAAATAAAAATAGTCGCTAGTGGCAGTCCTAGTTCAGTCTCATCTGCAAAACAAGGGGTCGGCCCAACATTGCCACCTTGTGGACAAACTAATTAGCGCAAAAAAGATTCTGTCTGTGTGCGTACTATGCCGAAGATTAAATTTACGTCACGCACTAATGATGCAAGTATATGATTGGCTTGAGTATGTTCAATTAGAATACGCACTTAAAATGTGTCGCCCAAATATTCTGTTAACATTTGCGTAGATCATGTTTCTAGTCTACGACAAGCGGCTTTTCCCTCCAGAGTTATAGTAGTCACATTTGCTCCAAAACCAAATTTCTGATTTACTGCCCTGCGCAGATGGACTTGCTACATTTCCAAGACATAATTTCAGGTTAACGTTTGGTCTGGCACTCCAGCGTCTCTCTCTGGTTTCTCTTCCTCCCAGGCGTTGCGACCGTAACCCTTGCATCCAAGGTGACAACGCCTGTTTCCAGGCCCCGGTCTCCATTAACTTCCACTTCATGTCCGTGGTGTCCAATATGTCCACGCCCACCGTCCTCTTCCGGTTGTCCGTGGCTCGCATCCTGGGCGACACGCTGCGCTTCGGCCTGCTGGGGAACCGGGGAGTCCAGCACTTCAGCGTCCAGCGCGCGGGCAGACTGACGGGGCAGCTGGTGCTGGTGAACTCTCTTCAGGGTCCCGCCACGCTAGAGGTCGATATAGAAATGAGCGAGATGGAAAGAAGGGTGCTGCTCGGGCGATACGTCAAGAAAGTCACTCTCTTTGTGTCGCTGTATAACTTCTGAGAAGCAGGAGACAGACGATGGACTGCTATTGGGAAATCATTTACAGGCGAGATATTGGGGAATGGGCCTGTGGAGGCAAGATAGGAGCGCTATTATATTATTTCTGAGGTGCCAATTTACGAGGACAAAAGAAAACTTACGTATGGTCAGAGTAATTTGGTTCCTCAGAATGAGGAAAAAAAACATTAATTTCTTCCATTCGGACTAAAATATTTATGCAGTGTTGTAGTTATTAACAGTGTGACATGTAATTCTTTTAAACCATTTAAAATCATTCTGGAACAAATACGGATGTCAAAGACAATAAAAAAGAAAAAAAAAACTTTTAAAATGTAGTTTGAAATGTGTCAGCTTTTTTAAATTAAGCCCATTTTCAAGAAAAGATTAAATGTAATGACTTTAAAAATTTTATTCGGTGTAATTATCAAGTAAAAGGTAATACAATTCTTTATACTTTAAATACATTATTTTCAAAAAGTTCTTAAAAACTTCAAGTCAAAAAGTCTAAAACAACTGTATGCAAGATATTTTTACCTTGAAATATCAGTTTCACAATCTTTCTGATGGTACACTGACTTCTTGAATGTTGAATGGTTATTGTCTGTTCTGGGACTATGTAAGCAAGTACAACAAATGCAGCGCTGCGATAATATTTCAAATATTTCAGTCTTTTAATTAGACTTTTTCTTTATGATCGCCACCTTGACATTTCTACACTGAGCCATTCACATTTATTTTTTTAGTTCATAAATTGTTAATCATAGATGTTTTGAAGTTAAATAAACCCATAGATCCTTAAAGGGGTCATATGATGTTGCTAAAAGAACATTATTTTGTGTATTTGGTGTAATGAAATGTGTTTATGCGGTTTAAGGTTAAAAAACACATTATTTTCCACATTCTGTACATTATTGTTTCTCCTCTATGCCCCGCCTTTCTGAAACACATTGATTTTTACAAAGCTCATCGGTCTGAAAAAGCGAGGTGTGCTCTGATTGGCCAGCTATCCAGTGCGTTGTGATTGGCTGAATACCTCAAGCGTGTGACGGAAATGTTACGCCCCTCACCATACTGTGATGCCCTGTCCGGCCGGAGCGACGAGACAAAAACATTAAAACCCATTACAAACGAGGCATTTGTTGCATCCAGTAGGGACATAATTACTGATTATAAGGACTTATACCGTCTTTTTACGCGTTTCGTTGCATCGCGCCGCGTAAACATACAACCATGTCTGCATTTGTGATCGGAGAAATGACAAACAAGAAGCGCTCAGTGGCAAATCCTTTAAATATGAAAACGTTGGAAACGGCTGGACTCCGCTTCGTCCACGGTGAAAGCCGATCCGGCGAGCGACAGCGTGAAGTTGATGTATTTCCTCAGCGACCAGCACGGATCAGCTCCAGGCATGACGAAGCGGATATCGTCCTCTTTTGGAAGACCAAACAAAGTAGTTTCGCTTTCACAACGAAGCACACAGCATCTTCACGACATGGCGGCGGCAACAATACTACAGCGAGAATAAAAGTTACGCCTTCTTTCTTTGCGTGAGCATTTGGGTGGCGTTATGCAAATCTTCCCACATAGTGATGTAGACATGTGGGGGCGTGTTAGAACGAGCCGTTTTAGGTAGGCGTGGCTGACTCTTAACTTTTATAAAGAATATCTCTTTGGATTTGAGACTTTAGTCTTTGCAACTTTACAGATCTTCTTTATGCACCAAGAGCTTGTAACACTCCAAAGAGAAAGGAACAATTGAAATCGCATCATATGACCCCTTTAACAAAATAAGTGTCACTTGATTGACTTCAAAAAAGAGAGAACCAGAAACCTTGCTGGCAAAAAGTTGAGAACCATATTGAAAGAACGATAAATACCTCAAGAAGCATTAGCATTTTTATATAATCTCACGACAGAACAGTTTTGCCATGTCCATGGTTTTCCCGTGGAATTGAGCTAATTTAAGCCCAACAATGTCCGCGGGTTGAAGCGACCCCAAAAGAGTAATATTTAGCCCCTGCAATGCGAATTTTTACCCGGGGGACCCCCCTCGAAATGCCATTGGGCTAGTTTTGTGTAGCAATTGGGTGGGTTTTGTTGTAAAAACCTGGCAACCTTGCAACAGAGGCAGATGTGACTCCACAAGAGAAATGTTTGTCGTACAAAATAGCGGTGCAGAAACTCGACAAAGGGAACACCAGTGTCGTTTTGCCCACATAAGACGATCCAGACCTCCTCTCAACTCTCTTGACCTCTACTTGTGTGAGGAGGCTACATAAAGACACTCGCACACAGACGGCAAAGATTTCCAAACCCGAATCGTTAAAGGACAAAATACATCAGATTCAAACCATCAGATCAATTTTATTAACAACGGTCCAATTCAACTCGTACAGAACCAGACATGAGAAATGACAAAAGCGCAGTTATTGAGTTATATCGATTTAGTACACTGTTTAATCAGATTTGAGGAAAAATACTTTTCATAATAAAGTTGTGCACAGAAAGTAAATACAAAAACAATTAATCATTTCTGTCATATATCAGTTTGACAGACAGGAAGCAGTGGTTGTGAGCAGATGACACACATTTAGGGAGTTTTCCAGTGCTAGTTTAACTCGTTCAAAAATAAAACACGACAGCCATATACCGTCTCGCCTTAAAACCGCAATGTGATTCCATAATTGATACAAACTACTTGCAGTTTGAGTTCTCAATAGAATATGAAACATTCAGAATGGCCTGGTCAGATACACAAAAAATTTATAATTTTGCTTTATGTTGCTTGACTTGTTCCGATACTAAATTTGCTTAACTTTAGATTTTTTTGAGTGTCCAAGTCAATCAACTTTTTTTTTTTAAACCATTTAAGTACCTGACAAATCCATTGAAAATTAAGCAATATTAATCAATCAAAATACTTTTTTTTTTTTCTTATCTTGCCAAGCCAAATAAAATTAGGCTAAATAATTTAAGTATCTTCCCAAGGCAATAAAATAAAAATATTAACCATTTATTTGATTGGCCACATATATTTATTAACCATTTTTGATTGGCTTGTTCAGATACACATAGACACACGCAAAAAAAAAAAAAGAAAGGAATAAAAATAATAATTTCACTTAATTTTGATTGGCTTGGTCAGATACTTGCGCAAGTGTACAATTTTGCTTAAAGACAATTAAGCCTATTTTATGGCTTTTTTTTGTTTTGGGGTATTTTAGGAAATATGAACCAGACACACTTTTATAAAAAAAAAAAAAATGTGGCTACCAAAACTAGATCACCGGATACCAAGCCATTGAATTCTAATGTCGAGTCCAAACAGACAACGGTTTCAAACTCGTCAGACCATGTGACTGAAATATGGTACTAATATATACAAATTATTTCAGCTATGGTGTTTGTATCAATATATACCAATTATACACCTCCTTCAATGCATAAAAATAGATCAATAACTGCTGAAAGAAATTATTTACAGGTAGATGAAGGACCTTATTTCTCCGCTGATAAATGAACAACTGAATTGGGAAGTGGAGGGAAGAGCTGTACTGGTTTATCGCTTTGAATGAAAACGTAAAATATTTGGCTGAAACCAGTTTCTTCATCTTTGCAGGAAACCCAGATCACAGTCATGAACTGAAGCTTTCATAAGGAGGAATATGCAAAGCATTGAAAGCACATGAAGCTAAAAGGCCATTAGTGCATCAGCTTTTGATTTGAAGAATTTCCCAACATGGATGCATTCAATATAATGGCCTGAAAAGAATGCATGCAAAAGCATATTAAAAGCACAAGCCATGTGATTTGATCTGAATAAAAGTGTCTATTCTTGCTGGTCAATTTGAATGTATCCTTTCCTGTCCTTGCTTATGGGTGCAACCCATGGGTGACCAAGTTTTCTGCAAAGAAAAGAAAAATGTCAAAGTTAAGGCAGTTTGTTACCCACAATCCTTTATTAAAATGACACAGCTATTTACAGTACGAATGGTTCCCCCCCTACCAACAGCATTAATGAATTCAGATTATTAAAGCACAGCATGAATGCACAAACACTAGAACCAAAGTCCACTTTAATGCCATTTTGTACAAAAGCATACAAATATAACAATAATACAAAAGCCAAATTAATTTAAAAGGCAGAGATGCACAGGGACTGTAACATTACAGCTCGATTATGCTTTTAATAGTATTCTGTCACTCAAGAGAGTGAAAATTTTGTGTGAACAGGGGACAAAATCGGGGTGGGGTGGGGTTACGCATTAAAGCCTTCGGGGTAAAGAATTAAGAAGCTACAAATCCATTCAAACAGATCGAAAATAGTCAAAAATAACTTGAGTTGTTTAGAAAAACTCAATGGTTCTTAATGCATCACAAACCAAAAAAATGGCTGCAAAAGCAAACAATTGGAATCTGTAGTGATTATGGACGGCACTGAGCTTACAATGTTTTAGAAGAGAATGACCGTCTGTGAAGGAAGCTTATTTCATAAATGTGTACGAAACATGTACGAGTGTTTAAAAGCGATAATTTCCCTAAAACCGTCCATACCATGTCTGGAAACCCAATGATGGAAGCGAATAACCGTGTGATAAAACGACATCTACCATGTGGGTAAATCGTCAAAAATGTGAATTTGGTTCACGTCTCTGAATATGCTAACAGAATGGTTTGTTAATATGGCACAATGAAAGCACAAATCAAACGACTCATTCAAAGCTCAGATGCGACGCGACCAAACCACAGCCATCGGAAACTGCATCGATAACAGCATGTAAACAGCTTGACGTCTCAATGCGGCCAGTGAATCAATACGAACTCGTAGTCCAGAATCAAGTCGCCCTTAGATTGGCGATATTCAGATCTTCATCGTCCATTTTCTAAATCTTGTGGGCTCAGTTAAGACCAGTTCAAACGACGTGTGAAACTTTCATAATGCAGAACACTTTCCCTTCAAATCAACCAACCAAATGACAGAAAAATCATATGTATGACCCCCTACTGCAAAGAAAGATGGGTGAAAAGAATGTTCCCAGTGACAAAGAAAAATCAACAAGAAGCCCATGATAAAACCAACACGCAAACAAAACTAATTCTCTCACTCGGACAGGCAAAAAGGCACAGACACACATCCGTTCCATCTTCAGCCAACTGGCTGTTTCCTAAAACATGGACGTCAAAAATTGCGACACCATCCCTGCAAACGAAAGGAAATCAAAAGCCGAACCTCCTGCGATCCGAACATCAACAATAAATAAAAACATTGAGGTGGAAAGCAAAACCAAGTCTTTGTGATATTAGTTGAAGAAAGCTGATTGGCGTCGTCTGGTGCGCCGGGATGTCGGCGTTTGAAAGCGCGCAGCAGGCAGGTTTACTCCGAGAAGCAGTTGACGATGTAGGACAAGCGCAGTCAGGGGGGAAAAAAACTAAACAAAAAAAAAACCTGTGTAGCAATTAAAACTGGGTCCCAATGTGGCCATCGGTGGTACCACGAAAATGCACACACAGCACGAGTCTAAACACCCGCCCCCCTCTGTCAGGTTTGCGTTTCCAACCCCAGTGTCCTTCCCCGGCCCAGGACGGAGAACGGCGTGTGGGGCACGATGGGCTTTTGGGCCCTGCAGGGGGAGCTGAATGGCACTTCCCCTGCCCTGTACCTCCTCTTTACCTGTCCTTCAACTCCTGCGTCACGCGTTTGGTGATGCGGCCGCACAGCAGACCCATGAGGAAGAGCAGGACCACGCACATCGCCAACATGCTCAGGATGTAGGACTTGGCAGGAGACGTGAAAACCTGCCCGGCCAGGTCCAAGAAACCTTCCGCTGGCGCCACCTATTGCCAACAGAGAAACAGTATGAACTTGTGCTCATGAAAACTTCATCACCTGCAACTTGCATTCAGTGTTCCTTGCATATACTTTAAATCTAGCTAAAGGCAGGGTGGGTGATTTGGTTCAAAAACGTTTTTTTGTTATGCTGGTTGAAAGTCTCTTCACATCCCAAAAGCATCCAATCATATCCCTCGGTCTAAAGGTCTTTGCACACGGAGTCTGAAATTCTCATCTGAAATTTTGCGCATGTTAAAAAATAAATATGACCTCAAGTTGTGTTAATCAAGCTGGCGCACTAGGTTAGCTTTTAGCCGCACACTCAAATGCTCACGAAGAAGAGCACTTGCGTGTTCAGCTGAGTAATGTAAGGGGTTAAATGTACTTGCACATCGGCTTTTATGCTTTATGATGCGATATTAACGTAAACACAGCCCACTGTGAACATCCTTGTAATTCGCTTCAACCTTTTCGAACTTTATGAATGATTATTGTAGGTTCAAGTGGTGCGTGTGTAAGGAACTGGAAGCAAGCAGAATATGGATATTTCTAAAGCACGCCGTGCCATCTGCTGTTAAAAACTAAGCTCAGAATCGATTCAAGAGAGAATCACGATGCATTCCGAAAATCTCAGAATCGATCCACGAATCGCAATGCATCGATTTATTGTCCCAGCCCTAGTTTACACACTGCCTCTGAAACTTTCGTCCGTCATAAAACAATTTGGATCAGGTTCGATTTTCTGCGTTTTTCGCATTCGTAGCAAGCATTTTGATAGGAAAGGAGGATGAATACAAAAAAAAAAAAAAAAAAAGGATACGAAAATTTCGGACCTTAAGGCTACGATAGACTGCCCTACCTGCTGGTCAATGTATTAGCATATCTCCACACCCTGTTCGTGCAGACATGATACACTATCAGCGTGTCCATTAAGCTATTGCAGACGGAGGTTTTGGAGGAGGTGTGGCTTTGGAGAGGGATTTGCAGGGAGGGTGGGATCTTATGCTTTTTAAAGAAAACTCGAAAAGCGCAATTTTGTTTAAATGGTTCATAACCATTCTTCAATGTAAAATTCTCCAGAATTATCTATGTAAATTGTAAGCATGTGATGTAAACTGGGCCTCATTCATAAAAATTAAAATGCAAATGATTGGAATTTACGAACTTAAACTTAGAAACATTTAACTCTCAAATATTTACGAAGCATTTGTGAACCTGCAGAGGAGTTGGAAAATTGTTTTTCATTTTATGAGCAAATTACTCCATATTTATTTCATGAATGAGCCTCATTGTTTAAAAAAACGGTTCGTTTGAATGCATTGAATTAATGCAAGGTGTGGGTAATTTGTTTGTAAAAACATGCTTAAATAAACTGTCATGCATTTTTTGTAAGATTTGTGTAAATTGCTCGTACAACCATCCTTACGTAAACTTTACAAAACAAAGAGAATTTACAAAACATTTTTTTAAATAAATTGTTTAAACCATTCTTATGCAAATTCTCATGCTAAATCAAATGCACAAACTTCTGTAAGATTTGGGCAAATTCTTCAGAAAACAATTATTCCAAATTTACTTTTTAAATATTTATATTTATATTTAAATATTTCATGAATGAGGCTCAATGTTCGTAAAAATTTTCCGCAAATTGAATCAAGTGTAACAACTTATTTTTGCGTAACACAATATTTGCTTAATTTGTTCGTAAAATCGCGCTTATGTAATTGTCACTTGGGATTATATGCAACATTTTTCATATGATTAGTGTAAATAGTTTGTACATGCATCCTTACATAAACTGTTTGTGAAACCATACTGTGCAAGCTCTCATAATAAATGAAATGCAGAAACCTCTGTAAGATTTGTACAAAATTATACATTTTTTGCATTTAATGCGACAATTTACATTTTTGCATGCAAAAAGATCGGAAGACTGTTCTCGGAGGTAAATGCGATCACAATTTTCATAATAATGGTTGCATGATTAATTTACACAGAACATATAACTTAATCTAACATTTTCAAGCCGTGTTGGCAAGTCTGCTAAAAGTGTTTTTAAATAAGTTTATTGAAACAAATTTATTAAGATCTGAAATACATGATTCTTCCTTAGAATTTAGCCAAAACAAGGCATCTTAGACAGCAGAATGTCGCTGTTTACTTGTTAGAACAGCATGTGTGTAGTCAGCACACCTACAATACCAAATTTGGAATAATCGCTCTAGTGTTATGGAACACAACTGATGTTTTGGAACAACAAGGAAGAAAATACTGTTGAGCTTCTGAATGGAGGCCGATGGGATTGGATGAACGTTTACCTTAGCGGCGTAACTCCACATGTCAATGCGGTCCTGTAATCTCTTCTTACACTCCGGCTGGAGTCTCACACGCTTATCTTGGAGAGCCTCCATCAGACACGACATCTCTGCACAAACACAGAGTGCAGTCATTAATATCTAGTCTACCAAAATGGCATAAAATCATTTCCAGAATTACTTACGTCTTCCTCGGCCCGGTGGGATCGCAGCACACTGGTGCTTGATGTCCAGGGCGCATGCTGTGTGCAGAACTGGATCCACAAAGATGTCCGCCTTGCTCTCCTTCAGTATGTTGAGAATCTCCTACAGCGAGAACAGCCAGTCAGAAGAGTTGTGAGAAATTGAACCATGCAACTACCCAGCGGCAAATCGAGGTCAGAGTGCTCTTACCTTTTTACAGCCTTCATGGCTGATCTTCAGCAGGTTGATTTTCAGACACTCCTCAACTTGACCCGTCTGCTCCTGCGCCGCTACTTCCTCCGCACAGAGCCGCGGGATCTGGGACAAACAGCCATTATTGGACATTTGAGACCAAAACATCTTGATGTACGACATACTAAGACAGTGAATGCTACCTCATCAGTGCACTGGAGCTGCAGCTGCGGGTCGAGCCTGTAGTCCAGCGCGGACTCCTGCAGAATGACAGTGATTTGGCCCTCACAGTCTGGAGAGAGACGCTGGAGACACAAACACACGCTCTTATATGGAGTAAAGGTGCAGGTTTATGTGCATTCACAGTGATAAAGGTTACGAACCTGGTCTGCGTATTTGAGTTTGAGGCAGGAGATGACCTGCCCCTCCAGCTCGTTGTCGTCTTTGGCATTGTTCAGAATGTTCTGGCAGAACTTTGGGATGTCGGCTTTGCAAGCCTTCCTCAGCACAGGGTTCAGACGGTAGTCTAGAATGGAGGAAAGAGCATCAAACTTTAGTGATGGAACCAGGTTTTTTGACTTTACACGAATAGGGCACTTGTATCTCAATACTTTTTATCGCAATAATGGCACAAAAATATTAATTGTTAAATCAAATGATTTCAACTCTTTCTAAAGTATCGTGGGAAGACATTACAATTTCATTACATTTTCACATTCACACCTGTTATTGATGTTGATGTTATTAAGTGCTAATATTTCCCTTTAATTTATTGGAAATAAAAGTTTATTAAATCGCTACAAACCAACATTTAGTCTCAAACTGGTTAGCTCCTGCTGAGAGTAGACTTGTGCCGGTATTCGGTAATGCGATATATCACGGTAATGAATATGCACGATATTGTTCCAATATTTAATAACGGGTTGTTAAAATCGAAAGTTGCAACCGTGTTATTTAATGAGCTAACATGAACTAAGACTTGTATTTTTTAAACAAAGATTAATAACTTCTGTAGCAAATGTAGCTACTGCTCATTGTGAATGTTAATGCATTAACTAAGGTTAACTAATGAGGTCTTATTGGAAAGTGATACCTATTGGGCTTTATAGTTCTTTTGCACTTTAATCTGTGTAAACCTTTTAACTTTATACATTTTGCTTTATTGCATTAAAATGTTCAGTTATTTTTGTTATTAAACCTGTTATACTGTATTATGACAGCACTTAAAAAAAAAAAAAAAAACTAAATTTCAATATCGTGATAATACCTATTGTGATAAAAGCATTAGCAATTAATCGCAACATGAAAATTTGATACCGGCATATCCCTAGCTGAGAGAATAATTGTATATCTTGAAAATTATTTCAGCTATACTGATTTAATAGTTATTAGTAGAAAAAACTGCTGCTGGAAAATATTTATTACTAGGTTTTTAAACAGTATCAAGACATCTTCTATTTTTTGTAACAGAGTTGAAAAAAAAATTGTCATTTAAATTAATAACAAACAAGCATTTAATCTCAAACTAGTTTGGCTCTGCTGAGAGAACATGTAATTTAGGCAAAATTTACAATCCTGTCACTCTGTTACTCATTTCAGCAAAATTATTTTTTTAAATATTGGATTATTTCACTTATATTTATTTAATGGATGTTAGTAGAATTTTTTTTTTTACTAGAAAATGTTTATTGCTAGGCTTTTAAACAGTATTAAGACCTTTTCCAAATTGATTCCAAACAGGGTTGAAAAAATTCCTAATTTAAATTAACAAATTAACATTTAATCTTCAACAAGTAAGCCCATACAGTGAAAGCTTATTTAAGCAAAACTTACAAGCCAGTTACTTAAAACCCTGTTACCAATTTCAGAATTGTATTTTTTTTAAAGGTCTAATTTTTTAATTAATAATTAATTTATTATTAATAGAAAATAAAAAAATGGGTATTAGAAAATGTTGTTGCTAAGTTTTTAAACAATAGTAAAGACATCTTCCAAATTGTTGTAACGGGGTTGAAAGTAATAAATAAACAGGGTTGAAAGTAATAAATACATTTAAATAAGTGAAACAGCTCCTTAAATAAATACACAGTTTGTCCGGATGAGTTTAACACCTTTCATTGACCCACTGAAAGAAAACATCTGACACATCTGCCTTTAACTGAGAGGAACAACACATAATTAGCCTACTGCATTAACAAAGCTTCCCATTTGTTGGTGTTCCGACTCTAATCGTAAAGATAAATATGTGAGTGATTAAAGAAAACCTACGAGTATGTATGCGCATCTATGTTAAGATGCTTAGGTCGTACCTGTGTTCTGGGTGATCTGTCTCTTGGTAATCATTTGTTTGCATTTCGGATCCATTAGTTCGCTGTTCTTGTTTTGTTTGAGACACTGTAAGAGGTTCTTTGCATCTGTGTCACTGCAGAAACGCTGTATAATTAAGAAAAAAAAAGAAAACAATTTCAAGCCATCATTAAATTCTGGGATCTTTTCAGAAGTAATTGACGAGGTTTCACACCCTGATCATCTGCTTGCAGACTCTCATGAGCTGGAAGTCGAGTTCTGGGTCCATCATTTCAGTCTCCTGCAGTTTGAAGACTTTCTGATGGCAGTGCTGTGTCAGCCGCTTCTTGTTTTCCTTCAGACACTCGATCACCTGAACAAGCACAAACACACAGATGAGCAGATCCTCACAGTCAAACGGAGGATTAGAGAGCCAGCTCATCTGAATTTACCTGAGCGTTTCCAAACACCACGTTCTGACAGTGCTGCTTGATGTCCTGCCGACAGCTCTCGTACAGATCCGGCTCCAGACGAATGTCCTCAGACTGCACGACACACACAGACACATCTCAACTTCACAGGATATAAGACATAACATAGCGCAGTACACTACAAATGATTAGACTCGTTTAAATACATTTTAGATGGATTTGATGTACTGACCATCTCCAGCTCTTCCACTCTGAGCTGTTTACGACACTTCATTGAAACTCGCTGCTCTTTGCCTTCCTGTAAAGTGTCGTTCCTTACTGTGGTACTCAGACAGATCACCACATCCACCCTAAGAGCAAACAGACCATCAAAACCTTCCTATCATACTCTACATTACCTCTAGAGGAGCTTTCGTAAATGTAGTAGTTGTAGCCAATCTCACATTATCTTTTTTTTCTTGGCTGGTTTAGGCCTGTCATAGATAAATAAATATGACACTAAAACAGCCAGTAGGTGGCGACAAGTCCATGTCTTAATGAGTGATTCATTGAATCATTCATTCAAACGACTCATTCAAAATGGCCAATTCATTTAGAAACAAAGTAAACGACTGTCTTAAAGGGTTAGTTCACCCAAAAATGAAAATTAGCCCGTGAATTACTCACCCTCGAGGCATCCTAGGTGTATATGACTTTCTTCTTTCAGACGAATCCAGTCTGAGTTATATTAAAAATGGTCTTTGATCTTCCAAGCTGTTTAATGGCAGTCAGCGGGTGTTGCATGTATCAGTCCAAAAGAAGTGAAATAAAGCGAATCCATCCATAATAAAAAAGTGCCTCACACGGCTCCGGGGGGTGAACAAAGGCGTCCTGTAGCAAATCGATGTATTTTTGAAAGAAAAATAACTATATTTAAAACGTAATAATCACTTTAATCTAGCTTGCGCTCACTGTTGTACACTGGAAGCAGTTCTGGGGGAATTACGTATGAGGTCAGCTTTGTGCATGCACCGGTGAGAAGTGACGAACGCGGAAACGCACACGGAGAGATCAAAACAAAACAACGGTCACTAATTAGAAGTACAAAACGAGGATTTGTAAAGAAGAATGTCGGAGGATTTCGATATAAGCCAAGAGGAGACTGGTTTTCCTTTACTAAAGTAAGGAAACTTTGCTTCCTTTGCTCCTGTTAAGAAATGTTGGTTTTCACGAGACTCATCGGCGCATGCGCAACGCTGACCTCATACGTCATCCACCCGGAGCTGCTTCCGTGTACAACTGTTGGCGCAAGCTACATTAAATTGATTATTATGTTTTAAATATGGCTATTTTTCTTACAAACATGCATCGATTCGCTACAGGATGCCTTTGTTCACCCCCCGGAGCCGTGTGACACTTTTTATTATGGATGGATGCGCTTTATTTCTCTTCTTTTGGACTGATGCATGCAACACCCGCTGAGCGCCATTAAACAGCTTTTTTTAACAACTTTTTTTCAACAATTTTTAATATAACTCCGACTGGATTCGTCTGAAAGAAGAAAGTCATTTACACCTGGGATGCCTCGAGGGTGAGTAACTTGGGGGATAATTTTCATTTTTGGGTGAACTATCCCTTTAATGAATGGATGAATCGTTGACTCAAATGATTTCATTTAGGAATTAAACACCTCAGTGTTGCTCCAAGACGCACAAACATTCTACTACGGCTTTGATTGAAACTATTTTTGTAAGCAAAACCAAAAATTTTGTTTTTTTTTTGCATATACTCAGACATACTCAGATAATGTTGTTAAAACAACATTTGCAATATTACTCTTGAGAATAAATAGCGCTCAACCCTAACGATACTGTAAAATGTATGAAACCAGTTATGAAACATTTGCTTTGCGTGACAGCCAGGCGCTCACTTCTTTTTGATGTTGGGGCACAGTTTGAGCACGTCCTCCTTGCACGCCATCTTGAACTTGTACGAGAAGCGAAAGTCCTTCATCTGGATCTGAGGATGAGGAGGAGAAACAGACGGTTGAGACACAACAGTAGTAACATTAGAAAGAGCGAGTGTGTATTCGTCAGACGTACCAGCTGGAAGTGTGTGACGCCAACGGCGCATTTCTCGTTCATTTCCTTCTGGTTCTTATTGGCAACGAGGCACTCCATCAGGTCCCCTGTGTCTATCTGATTATCGGCCACCTCCTGCGAAACAAACACAGGCAAATAGAGAGGACAAATGAAAAAAACAAAAGAAAACAAGCTACTTCGTGTATTTATTATATAGCTTTAAGTTATGAAAAAATGATTTGCAACTTACGTGACAGTAGGACTGGATCACAGGCTCACAGGCTCGAATCAATAAGGCCTCGATCTGAATGTCCTGGAAAACCAGACGCACCAAAATCAGTCCAAACCCACCCCAGATGCCTCACGTCCAGCAGAGAACAATAGCACCCAAACATAGACACTGAGGCTTTTTAATTTCAGATGCAAACTGCTGTAAAAATCACAAAAGCATTTTTTTTTGTACCTCAGACTCCAATTCTGTGAGGTTTCCCACCACATCCCTGCAGTTAGAGACCAGATCATCTAAATGATACTGTAAGCACTCCAGTTCCTGACAGACAAACACACAAACATTGAGCAATGCATCACTGGGAATTTCTTTGCAAATTCAATCATTTCATATGAAACATTTGTTGTTGTCCCAAGACTTTTTGTGAAGCATCACAGGCACAAATCTCATGTTTTCTAAATCATTATCTAACATAAAATTAACCACGGCCATTTCAGAAGCTGACCTTCTTAATTGTGTCCAACAATTATATATATAAAAAAAAAAACTTTTAGTAAACTTTTAATATTAAAAACTTACATTTAAAACACACAAACAATTAAAACAAAAACCTTTAAAATAATTAGCATTATTAAATAGTACTGTGGTAATAATTAGCCACGTCACCCATGTTGTGCTCAATCCTGTTACCTTACCACATTTCTTACATTTACATTAGAATTTGAGAATTACATTCTTAAATTTAAAAGAATTTTAATTTCTTAAAATTGTGACCCACAGGAAGTAACATCACTGGATTTTGAGCATTTGGAGTTATTTTAAGAAAAAAATAATCAATCTAATATTTTTTCTTTAATTTACGGAAATGCACGTTCAATAAGTACAACAGTCTCTGTTGAGTGACAGCTTAATAATTTATCAAGCGTTACTTGCAACCCTGTTACCCATTCCGGTGTAGTTTTTTGTTTGTTCTTATAAAAATGTATTACATGCGTGTCCAAATTTATTTTTAAAGGGTTAGTTCACCCAAAAATGAAAATTCTGTCATTAATTACTCACCCTCGTGTTGTTCGAAACCCGTAAGACCTTCGTTCATCTTCGGAACACAACTTAAGATATGTTTGATGAAATCTGAGGGCTCTCTGACCCTCCCATAGACAGCAAGGTAACTACCACGTTCAAGGTCCAGAAAAGTACCAAGATGATCGACAAAGTAGCCCGTGTGACATCAGTGATTCAACTGTAAAGTTACGAAGCTACGAGAATACTTTTTACATGACAGTACCATGACGCAAGCGTGCGGCTGGTGGTGCTGACCCACGCTCGCGTCATGATACTGTCGTGAACGCGTGTCCACAAGTGACGCAGTCAAGACGAAAATGTGGAATAAAGTCGTTATTTGTGTTTTCTTTGTGCAAAAAAGTAATCTCGTAGCTTCGCAACTTTACGGTTGAACCACTGATGTCACACGGACTACTTTATCGATCATCTTGGTACTTTTCTGGACCTTGAACGTGGTAGTTACCTTGCTGTCTATGGGAGGGTCAGAGAGCCCTCAGATTTCA